TATCTGAACATAGTTTCATTCATGAAGCAGAATCAGTCAGGTGTATTAGCTAGATCTACATATTGTCGTGCACAAAGCAGTATATGAAATGGGTTCTTGTCCTGCTGATACGACTTCTTGTTGTTTGGGGAAGTTCACAGATATAACAATTTCTATTGCATTTGTGTATTGGTTATGCTAGATACACATACAGCTGTGCACAAAGCAGTACATGAATTATTTTTTTGTTGTTTGAGGAAAATCACTAATATAATAATGTCTGTTGCATTTGTCGTTTAACGGCTGCTTCTATAATAGAGTTATCGCAGAATATGTTATACATTAGCTTAAATTGGCCTGTCAAAGAAATTCCATAATGCCACGTCAGATTAGAATTGACCCTGTAGCTTTTCTTTGTAATTAAGACAATAGCGAAGACAAGATGACTAAACTCGAGTGTTCGCTATATATTTCGATGGGCTTAGAAATATGTACCGCCATAGTTTAAATTTATATAAGCCTCAAACTTACGCGACACTGACAAGAAGACAAGGATTAACCCTTTCATTACTAACAAACTCTTATGTGTCTGTGTTCTCCTACACGGTGATAAGGCAAGGCTACAGATAATGAGTCCTCAATGGGAATAGAAGATTGCTTATTATATTGTCAGTGTAAAACAGTAAGGATTAGGCTTACACCAGTTAAGAAGTTTAAGGTAATACTAAATCAGTTTTTACATTTAGTAATTGGGACAGTGACATTTTTTTTCTAAAAACCCTTTTTTTTTTACTTTCGGTTGAAAAATATGCACTTTCAATTTACTAATGTGCTTCTTAATTAACAAACCTTAAAAAATCAGCCTCTAAAGAAATAAAAGACAGAAATTAAACAAATTTCTTTGTCAACAGTTATGTTTCAGTTATTTTTATGTATTTAAGCGAAGGGTCATGAATATTAGCACTTGGACAACTTTGTGTATGTGGTGCTCTCGCACCTCCTCTCACACGAATAGACATTCAAATAATTTTCGGGTTTCTCTCTCTAATTATCTGCCACCAAATATTTTCATTAATAAAGGGAAAAACTTCCCACTTAAACAGACATTATGCATGTGCCAAATCTGCATATTTCAGGTTATAAAAATTATTAATTAGATATTAATTAACTTACCAAGACTAAAATTTTCAATAGATTTAAACACGATTTGCGGTTGTCGATATAACGTAAAAGTGGATAATCGAGACTTTGTTTATTATCGTAACAGCGGTAGCAATGACAATGGAGACTGCACTGTAATTGTATCGGCGATAACTCAGCTCAGAGTGAAGTAATTTGACTGACATTTTCAACATATTCCCTTTACAATGTCTTTTTTTAAAACTATTAGAGAGAGAGAGAGAGAGAGACAGAGAGACAGACAGACAGACAGACAGAGCGAGAGAGAGATGAAATGGGTTTAACGTCCTGCTGTTCTCCTCCGAACTGGGCTAATGAAGACGGGCATACGCCATACAGTGTGCTATGAGGGTAATTTTGCCCTGACAGCGGCACTACGACCTACTCTTATATCGAATTCCAACAGTCAAGAGATCTTTTACGTGCAAGCTAATGTGTACACGAGACCTCGGTTTTTCGTACAATCCAAACCACTAGACAGCTGTCATTATCAGGCCCCCCGTCCTGCATCACTGACAAGGGGGAACCATTCCGGAGAGAGGGGTTTAACGTCCACGCGACACAAACTAGGTCATTTCAGGACTAACATATGGTTCAATTTTATTCCAATAATTCGCTTGCGTGTAGGGGTCTTTAGCAGTGGGAGGAAACCAGAGAACCCGGAGAAAATCCGCGAGGTTGGACAGCCGACGAAACTCCTTGTCACCTTCAAGGATTGGTGTTACATATATTATTTAAAAGAGACGACATTAAAAGAAACACAGCAATATACTTCAATCAAGATTGATATTACATTAAACTTCAAAATATACCACTTAACATTGCTGACGGTACCATTTCAAATTGTATGGTAGTTATTTCCCATAAAAGTATGGACATTTTGGTAAATAAATATGGGAATAGAAAATAAATCTTACTAAAAAAATACTGGTTTCTCTGGGAAAAGAAAGCAAAAAGGGTGTTATTAACTGGCAGGCTGTAGACTTCGTTCGTCTGTTCGATTGACGTCGTGCGCGCAGGCAGCATTTGTTATGTTACATGATTATAGCAAAATGCCTACCGGTTGCGAGAACAGAGAGTGGTTTAAAGGTATTGCAGACTCTGCAATTAACGACGAAAGCAGAAATTACTTAGGGATCTATATGGTAAATGGACAGCGAATGAAGACAAATACAAGATAATATGATTATTTCCGTTACAGTCGAGTCACAAGATAAACATGGCTGCTTAAAATATCTCTTTGCGGCTTGTGGTAGTTCCTTCAATTTTAAACTGTTTTAAGAGAACTTTGAGGCAAAACGTTTGATGGATAAACATATCAAATCACACAGTATCTTTTTACGTAACTTCAACGTACCTTGATAAATGTCTCAATTAAAATATTTATTATTCTCAAATCTTTTGTTGGTATCTAAACATGGGTAGATTATACATAAGGTTACATAAGACAACATGAATTATACATGTCACGAATTTCTTTTACTGTAACATTTGTCTAAGCCCTTGAAATATATCACTCAACATGACACGCGTGTTTTAAATAATGACATTTCTTGCGTCCGAGGGGGGTCTGGGGTGGTTCTCCCCCCAGTAAAATTTTGAAAATTTACAATCGCAAACCCATTTTCCAAGCAATTCAGACCAAAGCAGAAGAAGGCAAATTTTTGATTTCCTGATACAATAAGATAACAGAATGACCCAAGAGAATTATCATTAGATGAATTTGAGAATTCTCTTCGGTGTCAAAAACAAAAACCTTTTATTCTCCGTGATGAAAATAATGCAAATTATAATATACATACAGTACACGTATTTGACAGTTTAGTTGACACACATCACAGAATATAGCGAGAATCTTCGATTATTTCGGCGATAATGACTTATGAAGAACTAAGTAGAGGTTAAAAGATGAATTACGCGGTTCTCTGTATAATGAGGTCAAAATCATAAAGTTCTTTCCTTGTAGTACACTTCTTTTTTTGTGTTGTTTGTCAGTCTTTTCTTTCTCCTGTCCTGTGTCCTGTCCTCTCCTTCCTTCATTCTTTTCTTTCTCTTTCTCTCCTTTCTTTCTCTTTTCTTTTTTTCTTTTTTCTTTTTAATTTGTTCTTTTTTCTGTATAGGCTTAGGCTGTATAGGCTGTCACGGACAGGTGGACAGGTGGGCCCAGTCCGGCACTGTTGTCAGTGGTTCAGGGTAGATGGCCTGGCAAGTGACAACGTATAGTCCTGTGTACACATTGGCATGCAGGTAATGAATCCCTTGACAGTTGGAATTCGGTATAAGAGTAGGCCTTAGTGCCTCTGTCCGGGCAGAATTTCCGTTATAGCAGGACGTTCAACCCCATTTCATTTCCTTCCACAGCTAAAGACCATAGTTCAGAAATCACCTAGTTTGTGTCGAGTGGACGTTAAACCCCATTTTTCTCTATATATATTCCTAAACAGTGAGACAGGAAATTCCCGTGGAGCCTTGTCTGTCAAAACCAAGATGAAATTGAGACTATTTTGTTAGTAAGCCAGTACGATACTCACTCAGACCCCCCCCCTTCTCCTCCACCCCCCCCCCCCCCCACACACACACATGAATAATGAAAAGCTACATTGAAATATAATTATTGAATAATTAGTGTTAGAAAAGAAAAAGAAATTACAATAATTAAGTTTACTGAAAAGTTAGCATTTCTTTTTTTACACGACTTTAAAAATATGATGGCACAGTGTCTATATAAATAACCTAGTTCATACCATAATAGGTAGTGAAGAGTTATATTTCTTCACATATAGATTTCGTTAATATATGGTTATTGACCAAATCCTAAAATATATTTTGGCATTTATCCTGTAGTTTATTTAGTTTTTTGTATTGCAATTGCAATGACAGTTTTATTTATTTACAATTGAGGGTAAAATATAGCCAATATACATGAACTTTAAAAGGTACAGCTTTACTTGTAATGATACCCAATCTGCTATTCTCGTGCCCCCCCCCCTCCGAAACAAACACACACACAGCTATAGACTACTACTCCCAAACGGATTACTGAATTACAATTGGCCCATGACAATGACCTAGGTTGTGTCGAGTGGGCATTAAATCTAATTTCTTTCCCGTAAAACAATAAACATTAAATCAAACGAAAACTTGTTTGGTTTAATTAGTTTCATTCTATTACTTATTTGCTGTCTGTCGAATCGAAAAACAATACCCCGCCCATTAAGATCCAAACGCAAAGTACGGTTCTGTAGTCTTCTGTCACATAATGTTGGTCCTGAAAAACGTTTTGTAATGGCCATTTTCTACAAGTAATATTCATTCAAATACCGAAGCGATATGAATTATCATAAGGTCTTTAATGCGTTTTCATCAGTCTTTACAATCTAATATTATATTATTTACCACCCCTGCTCAAACTGGCGATGACACGCTTCTTTCCTGCAAAAATAATAGCGATTCCAAAAGTTGGACATAAATATGATCTTCTGGGTGTCGAAAAAAATGCTAGTTTACTAAAATTTGAATATCCAGTTACCTGGATAAAAGAAAGTTAATCCTTTGCTCAAAATAAGAAGGCTTATTATATCATTATCCAAGCCTCGGCCTACTAGGGCCGATCGACAAAATGACCCGATTTCTTGGTATGTGAAGGGGTTTTATTGTCCTCTTGACTTTGAATTCAATGTGAATGCTCAACCATAAAATGTCACGTGATCACAAGTCTTCACATTGCAAGCCGGAGCAGCCATTTTAATATGTGAGACCTGGTACGTGATATTTTGCACACGACACTATTCAAAACTTGGTTGACCGGGAAACTTACTTTCCTTTCCTATCTAGACATATACCTTATTAGTAATTCAGTTAAACATTGTACCGTGAATGATGAGGATGCTACGAACTGTTCCGTTAATTTTTGTTATTTTCACTGTTCTTCATTGTGTATCGGCTTCGGGCCATGACGACCACGGTCATGGCGGAATTGATGTTTTTGATGAACTGAAGAAAAAGTTAAATATAACGGGAAATTATTTACCTGCATCGGGATTAAAAGGAATTATGGACACCATATTCCACAGCTTTTCATGTTCTACGAAAACCCCTACAACTTGTAAGGAATCTATTGTAAGTATTTTATATTTCATTTATTATATATTTTTTTTTATTAAATTAATACTCACCTCCTTCCTTTGAAAAACGGCATGCAAATATCTGGGTCGGCAATGAGCCTTTCAGTCTATTACGATGACGATAAGTGGAAACCATGTTCAAAAAGAATCAATTGTTTCCTTTTTTTATCAATAAAAAATTAATTTTATGTAATATTGATTTTTAGCAACATATTATTTTTGTTCGAGGTTTGACCAAATTATAACCGTTTTGATCAAAATGAATTTTGGCCGTTACGGTGTATGGCCGTTCTGATCACAGCTTGACAACTCCAAGCATCAATATAACGGAAGAAATTGTATAATTAACTTTAGGTGTAATCTGTTATGCAGTCCAGTATGCGGGAAATTTTGCCCTTACTTTTGTCCGAGAAACTTCATGGGGTTTTTCCGACTTAGTTTCCCCTTGTCAGTGTTGTAGGACGGAGGGTCTGAAAGGACAGTTGTCTAGTCGTTCGGGCGGGACGAAAAACCGAGGTCCCATGTACACATTGGTGTGCACATAAAGGATCCCTTAGCAGTTGGAATTCGATATAAGAGTATATAGGACTTAGCGCCGCTGTTCGGGCAAAATTTCCCGTCTTTCCGGAAGCAGAGCAGTGGGATGTTAAACCCCATTTCATTTCATTTCAAGTTTTGCCCTTACATAGGCACTGTTTACTGTGCTACCAGTTGTGTACACGGGCTGCGACTGTTTGCCCTGTCCAAAAGTCGATACGCTTTTCGTTTCCTTGACTCTCCGTCCTCTTCCACTGAGTTTATAATCCCAAGAAACATTCTCAGTCAAATCTTGCTTACTGAACTAGCGGTATTTTAATGCTATGATAAGCATTACATAAATTAATTTGTCATATTTCTGGATGGTCTTTCACAAATATATTGAACTGATAAGACTAACAAAAAATTTATACTTCCGATGGCCTCCACTACATCCAAATGGGTAGGGGTAATATTAAGTTTAAGACTGCCGAATCATTTTCGACAATCATGATTTGCAACGTAGTTCGTGTACATAAGAGTCATAATATGGCTGAAGGTTTCCGAATGGATAGGCCTACAGATAATTAATTCATCACTGTCAATTGTTCACGCCCCTTTGTTTCTCGTATGAAACCCGTTTGCCTCATCAAACTGAGTCAAATAAGTCAAGTCATCAATCATTTTGACAGTTCTATATATACATACTTATATAGATATGTACATCCTTGTTTTAAGTCAGGATACCCACTGTACGATCTGTTTCATGACGTCAGTAGGCATTTCGATATATTATTTCCTTTAAGTGGCATGTGTGAAATATGTATAAAGAACGATCGCATGTATTTTTGTATCAGTTTGAATCCATAAAAAATACAAAAATTTAAATTATATTATTGTAAGATCACCCATACAAAAGTACCAGTATTATATAGACGCAATCAAGCGTAAAACCGTTGAACATATACCGTCATATTATCTTGTATGAAAATGCAATTTAGATATATATAAAGAGAGAGAAATGGGGTTTAACGTCCACTCGACACAAACTAGGTCATTTCGGGACTAACATATGGTTTTAATTTTATAGCAATAATTTGCTTGCGCGTAGTGGTCTTTAGCAATGGGAGGAAACCGGAGGACCCGGAGAAAACGCACAAGGTTGGACAGGCGACCAATTTAGATATACGATTACAATAGAAAATAGAGTCGTAATCATACAATTAATTTGTCGTCAACTAAATGGATCCCTTAATATCAATTAGGGAACACGTTAAAAGTCCTGTGTCCCGATTATGTATTTTCACGGCTTAATGCGCGAAAGATTATACTCGGACTGATGTTTTAACATCTAATAAAGAAAACCAAACCAAAATGTCAACGGTAGATAATCTCTGGGCTGGGATTCAATCGGATTAAATTGAGGCCCGTCAAAAGATTTTACTCAAAACTTATAGCTGACGCTGCCCATATTTTTTACTCCAGAGCCTGTGGAATCTTACGAAATTTTCCATTTATCAGATCTTTGTAAATACCAAACGAAATTGAACCATTCTATAGGTGATATTTCTTTAAGAGACATAACTTTCACCTTATTTTAGTTTGCATGGATTTCAAAAATCCGCCGATGACGATCAGGGATTAATAATTCCACTCATGACGATCAACTGCTTTAAGATAATAGTGTACAATAGTAATAATTGACTACAAATATTTCATGATGAAATTAAAGTGTATGAATTGTATTCTATCACCGTATACACCCCAGTCTTTTGTTGCCTGTCCATCACGACCCGTTTACCGACAGTAAATCACGGTTTAACACAACAAACGTCATGTATATGTCCCACAAGAGACAAACGCACATTTTCGTAGTAGAACCATTATAAACCAGAAGAGAAATGATACTATTTCTGAATTACATATTGTCGGTTGGGAGTCAAAGAGTAGTATTATAAAATTTTCTGTTTTACTTCTTCAGAATTGTATATTTTTTTGATTATTTGTTTATCTAGTTGTCAGCTTTGTCATCATTGTCTTGACTTATGGCATTTATATATAACGACATTTTGATGCGACCTTTTGAAACATCGTGATTCTTAGCTTAATTTGTTTTGGTCCTACTGCACGTGAGAACAAAACAAAACAAAACAAGTATGGCCCTTTTTTGACTTCGTAAAGACAATCACGGTAAACATCACACAGCTTTATTATGTCTGTCATTTGAACGCGCCACAGTTTGACATAAACATTCATTACTGTGGACTATTTAATTGAATTGGAATTGGAATTCTTAAAATATCTATCCGGATAGGAATATTCAGGAAATATAATCTCTAAGAAACGTGAAACCGTGTCTGTTTTTGGTTTGTTTTGTTTTCATTTGTTAAACCCGGATCATGCCATAAGAAACAGCCAGTATATGGACACGGTATATACTGGCCAATATTGTACGTTTAAGGAATTATCTATGTACCACCTAAAAGACCTAGACGCGATCATATTATTGAAGACATACCTATCGCGACAATATGCCTAAGGGTGTTTAGACACGACTCTACAGGTAATTTATCACCTGTATACAGATATTTTAACGCCCAAAGCAGTACATATGTCATCCCATGAGATTTGTTTACATGTACATTTATGTATTATATACTCTTCCAAAAAAGTCGGGGATAATGAAATGCAAATACCTATGCAGGTTGTGATATGATAAATATTCATGGACGCTTGACATGCTTCGAGAGTATGTTCACAGATGAAGAACTTATCGCTCCAACAGAACCACCGAGCTGCACATGCGACACACAACAACGCCATACACGTGGGAGGGGTTCATTGTCAAATTTGACACTTCAAGGAAGGGTTGATGAAAACAGAGATTTTAAGCCAAAAAAAGGACAATGGAACGCGAACCTCAACCGTGCCTCTGCTATAATACAACAGTGTCCCAAATTTCAATCAAATATCTAAAAGTTGAATTTAAAATAATTTCGGAAAACAAAATTGATAGACGGATGGAGAGAAACAACTAGGAATGGACATATATCAATTAATTGTACCCATGTGCTTCAATACATCCTGGAAAATATGAAAGATGAATGAAAAAAGATAAAGAAGCGGAAATCTATTGCTGGGTTTTCCGTTATACGTTTCCGCTATATGAGGTAGACGTCTGTAGCTTCAGTTTTTGTGGAAAAGTTTCATAGGTTGACGTTTAGGACTTATAACTCTTTTCTGATTAATGGTGATTGATGCCCTTCTGGATATAGATGGTCTTTAGGTAAACACACATTAGTCATAAAGGGTCGAATCCCGGGATTTCGTCTGTACGTAATGGTCAAATCCTAATAGCTATGTATTAGTCACACATAGACGATTTTGGGAATGTCCCGAAGCTTAGTCTGGAGGTCGCGGGTTCGCTCCCGCTGTTGGCCGAGAAAGTACATCCGGATTTTCCGGCATGGTTTCCCTTTGTCAATGATGCGGGGCGTAGGGCCTGACAAGGGCAGCTGTCTAGTCGTTCGGATGGTATGAAAGATACCTTGACAGTTATAATCTGATATAAGAGTAGGCCGTACAGCGCCGCTGTCTGGGCAAAATTGCCCTCATAGCACATTGTATGGCGTATGCTCGTCTTTATTGATCAGTCGGAGCAGAACAGTGGGACGTTCAACCCCATTTCATTTCATTTACAGTTGGTGTTGTTGTACCACCCGAGTGGTCAAGCTAATTACTCATCTTATTCCCCGTAAAGCACCAATTAGTGATTAAATACGCGGTTATGGCTTTCTTATTCTTAAATTAAGTTTGTTTATGCTCGTTATAATTTTTCAGCGGACAATGTCCATCCTTTAACCCTTAGTGTTGTTTGTAGTGCTTGGTGTTTAAAGATACATTCCCGCATACAAACTGGGTGATTTAATGTTATATATGGACTAAAAACATATTCACACTAATTAATTTGTCATAATTTTGCTTCAAATCCTCAAACATTGTAATTGCGAAGGAATGCCCTGCTATAAAAATTCGATCAAACCAGGTCATGTTTACGCCACGTGAATTACCTCTCTTGGAAGTCAGAGGAGAATTCATTGCATACATAAGACGATGTTGTCTTTAATCGCTTACTATTTATTACAAATATCGAAACTTAATTCAAAACTTAATAAAAGATTTTTACCTAAAGACAGAAGAAAAGTTTTGGATATATTTTAACGATACCACCGATTCTTCTTAAGTCTTCCAAGAATCATACAATAAACATAAAATAATTGTAGGTAAACCGAAAAAATTTTTAGAATTAACATAACTGTCAAGAATAAGATAAGAATAATATTATGGTTGTCAATTAATTTTAAAATTGAAAGATTTATACTATGGTTGACAAATAGTTATGAATGAAATGAAATAGGTATAACGTTGTACTGTTTTGCTCCGACTGGTATAATGAAGACGGGCATAGACCATACAGTGTGTTATGAGGGAATTTTTGTCCAGGCAGCGGCTCTACGGCCTACTATTATATCGAATTCCAACTGCCAAGCGATCTTTTACGTGCACGGGACCTCGATTTTTCGTCCCATCGGAATGATTAGATAGCTGGTCCTGTCAGGCCATCCGCCCTGCACCACTAATGCAGGGATCGAACACCTTACCTTCGGGCTAACGAGCCAGTAGCGAGCCAGCGTCTTACCCACTTAGTCTCCATGCCTCCAAATAGTTACAAAATTAGAGATAATAATATTATGACTGAAAAATAAACGTAAGATTGGAAATGCATGTAATGATATGGCTGACAAATATAAGATTATAAATACTAATATTAGGGTTGACAACGTCTTGGTTGACAAATATAAATATTAGAAATGATAATATTATGGTTGACAAATATTTGTAAGATAAGATATAATAATATTATGACTGATACATAGTTATCAGATTATAAATAATATTAGTGTTGACAAGTTGTCATAACAAAAAAGAAATGAACTTGTTTAGAATTATAAAGGTACAAAAGGACACAAATATTTTAAAAGTAACAACGTTTTCTCTCAATCTATCAATAACTCATAGTCTCATCACGAATATACTGATTCATTACATCTGTGACGACAATATAGGGAAGAATGATATATGGTACTTGACACAATCAAGATGATATAAGAACAGGACTGTTTAAAAGTAAACCATCTTTTTCTCCGAAGTCTCTTACTTATTTTCGTTGACATGATCAAGTAGGCCTATGTCATACTTCCGTCAGCTGTTGAAATTTACATGTTCGGCTAAGTGTCCCATCCCCCTACTAGCAGTCGATTTAAAGCCACGTTGCCTTGGTGGTGCGTATTACGCCCTGGTAAGAGTGGGTTGTGTAGCTTAATTTACGAATGTTTTAGAAGCTCTGGATAAATCTATACTTTAAAGTTACAATTTCATATTTTTAAGTTATATTTTTAAAATGTATTAAAATAAAGCCCTAAAATAGATGGTATCTATAAACAGACCTACCCTGTTAAAGAAAAATCCTATTAATCCTATAATTCACTATTGCCAGTTGAGAAATTGGCAAAAACATCATTTTCAACTTCAAATTCAAACGTTTGAAGATAGCTATTCCATTGTGGGGAATGGGAAAACAAGGAAGGTAATTGGGAGGTAATTGTTATTATTTCCGGTGTGAAGATTTTTAAGTGTGAGAAAGATAACCTATGATCGTATAATAGTGAGTTGACAACCTATTGAGCAAAAGACATAGAAATATTTATGTTTTGACTTTCTTAGAAAATATGAAATTGTAACTTTAAAGGGACAATAACACTCTTGCTGGCTTGACAGCTCCAGAAAATAAAAAATAGCCTTATTCTAAGTACTAGATGTGTTAGTGTCCTACCTGTTGTGTAAATTTTCCATTAAATCCTATTTTACTTGTCCAAAGGGTTCAAACATTTTTAAATCCAAGTCAATTTTAAAAGCTTTACGTCAGGCTTTTCAAATCATTTAGTTGGATATTTCCAATTTTTTAAATTAGGTGTGTTAAGATGAAATTTGTATCATCAATTAATTTGGATATTGTAAAATAGTACAATTTGTTGACCAGAATAAAGATTTGAACATATTATTCAGTTACAACAAGAGTGGTATTGAGCCTTTAAACGATCTATACATTAGGGTTATTGTGTCTGGGATCTGGTTATGTTTCATTAAATTATTATTCCATGTTATAAAATGAAAGTTTTATCAATTAATCGCATTTTATAAATGGCTGACATACGGAGCAGCTTCACAAGCATATTCCCCATCTAATACATCAAGATTTTAATATCTATATCAAGGCATCGTCATCATTTAATATTTTCTGTGCATGCTTCTTTATAATTGACGAATAAATTTACTTATGAATTAGGTAATGAATAATCGTTTGCTATAGATTAAAGGACAGAAAACATTGGTCTAAAAAGAAGGACATAAATTTATAGAGTATCTTGTGATATGTCAATGTACTGGAGACAAGTGTACAGCAATTAAATAGGCTATAGGAATAAACACATAATTCTGCCGACAATATTAATGTGAATTTAAGCTAAAATGACGAAACTGGTACACAATAGTGTGCATGATAGTCATCATATTTTACAACTCACTGCATTATGAAGACGTTTATATATGCTTCTTTTTGAAAACCAATTTTAAACTTTAATGTTGTATTTATTTATGTTTTCAGTGTATCTTACCATCCAGTTTAATCCAAGTGGTAGGTGGATCTCAGAGTCTTGGAATCAACGAGGAACAGTTCGAAGATGTTGCTATAGTATTATTATACCATCTGAAAAACCTTAACGATTTCTGCAAACAGACAATCAATGCCTCCATCTCCACGTTAGAAACCTACCAAGACGGTTTTGTTCTATCTATTATAGCACCGGGTGTAGGCAACGTTACTAACGAATACCATCTAGACCAAGCCCTTGAACTTTTGAACAAAAGTTGGGAACCACATACTCATGAAGATGATGACCACGAAGAAGAACATCACGATGAAGTTCATATCTTTGATGACAAAGTAAGTTCTTTGGCACCAGATATTATCTTGGTGATTTGAATTTCTATTAATTTATCACCCCATTTTTTGATCCATGACCCATAAACATGACTAATAATAAGCTTCTACTGAAGTTATATTGACATGTACATAATTGCTAAATGTCGATATAAAGGGTGTCAAAAGTTATATTTCTCCAATCTAATTATATCGCATGTCTTGTTTTCCAACACAAATATAGCTCGCCTGAACGACCTGTTCGGTGTCATATTATAATTGGTGTAGCACTATGGGTGCTGTCAATTGTTGGCTAGATGTGGAAAGTACAAAGCAAGAAAAAATCCTCACATCCAGCTTGTGACTCATACTCTTATCTGCCACATATTTTAATAGGATTGTGATGGCCTAGCATTTGTAATTCTCTTCTTTTGGCATGGGACTCACGTTGTGTATATTCTTCTCACTATCGCAGTAGTTAAGACGTTTGTCTTACCAGGAATAACAATGCAACAGTTCGGTTCTATATTTTATGCCAAGCTGGAAACATATGGTTACAATACATAATAGAATACATTTGCATACTTAAAATTAACATCTTTTTTCTCAACCCCAACCCCTATAGAAGTCTAAACAGCATAGCTAGACTCAGGAAACCGCTAGATCATATGGTCATCTAAAGAACCAAGGCGATGTCTACGCTCTCTGAGAACTCAGTGGCAGTCTCTAGGAACTCAGATGGTCATCTCTATGGTAGGGTGACCCACCATAAATAAATATCTCCAAATATCTCGACAATTACATCACAATATTTATATATTTGCCATGCCTTAAATCGGTTTCGCACATTTATAGTCGTCACTAAATAAACGGTCAAATGTAATAATATTGCTAGAATTTTTGCTCTTGAAATTAATGGTGGCAGTATATTTCATTAATTAATATCTTTGGTGGCAAGTTATTAAATTCACATATATGTAGAATTGTACTAAAATCAATTTAGCGAGTAAGTGACAGTTGACACATAAAAAGAGTTATATAGTCAAAACATGTGTCTGTAAAATACCACGAGATATCACGTGCATGGAAATTTACCATTGCATCATTTGGCTTAATTTAACCAATCATATCGTTAATTGCACAGGTTCAGGGCCATAATCACACTTGATTGTGCATGATATCATAGTAAACTTTTAAGTCAGACTCCCATTAGATTCCAGAGAGGTTCCATCTGAGATCCTAGACAGCAGCTTGGTTCTAGAAGGGAAAAGATGTAGAAGTTTGTATTCAGCAGACTCGCCCAAATCGAGTCTGGCTGAATGAGGTTTGAGAGAATGACTTTATTATTGTAATCTATATTATGCTTATCCATTTATCCAGCTGATATATAAAATGTAAAAACGAACTGTTGCATTGTTATAACTACTGAGAAGACAAACGTCTTAAGAAAACAGTAAGAAGTAAATACACAACGTGAAGCAGAAGCAAAGACAGATAGAGACAAATTCTAGACGATCACAAGGCTACAGAAATATGTAGTAAGAAAAGATGGATGGGTCGTATGTAAGATGTGGCGACCGGTCTGACATTACCCCGCTCTCCATGTCAGAACGTAATTTCTAAAGCTGCTGCAATGACCAAAAAGCTAAATTTTACTGCTATTCAGAATCGTCAGTATTAGATTTTTTACGGCTGTAATAGTTGATAGATGTGTAGAGAATTTCACGCGCGATGGCTTTTTATAGTCTCATAAACTGCGTGGTTAAACAGAAATCACTTCGAGACAAGCCTCTGAAGCGTGCACGTTCGCCGTGTCGAGCTCAACTTTCTGCAGAGAAAATTTTCACTCTACGGGTCACGCTATCTACGGAACTTGCATGGTATCTGTTCGGAACCCAATGATATCTGATCTTAAAGGCCTGTCAGAGTCTATTTTATAGGACCCACATTGACATTGGCCTTAAGTATATCACGCTCAGATCTGCGCATTACTGATATGATTGGATGGTTACAGTGTATGATGCAATTAGTAAATTTCCAATCACATGGATTTTACTCAATAAATTATTATCCTTGACTCCATAAACTTTACATCAGTTATTTCCCCAATTATGTTTTGGTTTTATAAATCTTTTATGTGTCAACAATTCACTCATTCATTTGAGTACGTGTGATATGACTTCTTAACAATACATGTATATTGACACAATAATTAGTTAAACATATAATACAATGCTATTATTAATTTAAAAAGCAAAAATTGTACAATAGTCATACAATGGCCAACACACGCTTTAAAACCCATCAACTAAAAACGATATTAACTTGCGCCATAAATGATTATATCTATAAACAAGTGTGGGTGACAACCACTACTAAGCATAATCATAACGTTTATTCAATCAGAAAAATAGTTAGAAAATAAGACATGGTTATATAGAAAATAAAACATGTTTATAAATGAGTGTAGATTTGTCAAATGAAGCTGTGAAGAGTGTTTATTTGCTTGGTTTGATCTCATATAACATGTTTTCATTGATGGGCTAACTTTTGTTTTGATTAGTAGTGCTCAAGGTTTGGTATGTATGTCTTTGTGTTCTGTGACCGAATGAGAAATACCCTTCTAATACAACACGGTGGTTGGCTTTGTTGATATTAATTTTTATATTATTGCAGTGTTTGTCAGCTGACATCATATTGCACCATTTGAGCAATGAGACAGATATAATCGAAAGAGAGCATTTTGGTGATGTGGCAACTTTGATGGTTTACCACTTGTTTATCCGTAAGTTCATAATCCAATGGAATAGCTTTCTTTAAAATCAACCTTTCGGATATAAAGAGCGCGAAAGTGGCCATTCTTAATTCTCATTAAATGAGATTTATTTACATTTTAAAGTACTTTGTGAGCATACTTCTGAGATTAAACAATAGTAGGATAATGAGTACACTGGCATTTAAACTGCAGTAAAATGTAAGGAAGTGTGGGTTTAAACGGTAGTGAAATGTGATGAAATGCGTTGTGGGTTTCAACAGTAGTGAAATGTAATGAAGTGTGATGTGGGTTTAAACCGTAGTTAAATGTAATGAATCGAAGTGTATTTTAACTTTAAACAGTAGTGAATGTGTAGTGTATTGAAATCCCGATTTTATTAACCGTTTACAAGATTTTCAATATTTTAATTTTTTTTTTTCAGAATCTCCGATTAAACATACCTGTCGTCTATTGCCAGTTAAGACATACTTTATAGATGAACTATTTGAAGAGTTTCATGCTGTCAACGACACTATCGTTGAAAAGGGTAAGAAATAAAATAAAAGAAGTATTAGAAATATTAGAGAAATTTGATATAGCAGTAGTGAATGTAGCAAAATTACACATAACCCCAATACAGCAATGTACACCCCTGACACCCCCACCTCTCCCGCCAACTGCTTAGGTCTGGAATCGAAAATTATTTAGAAATAAGGAGCAAAAAAACCAAAAACGATTGATTTCCCTAAACTTCGTCATTATAAGTAAAATGGAATAACTATGACTGATCTGGTGAGCTATTGTAATTAATGATAGGACAAGATATATGCTTTGTTTACTCATTTAGTTCCATTTTTGGTTATTGAACACGTAATCTGTAATGTCTCACCATTTGCTCTATCCGTTGAACTAAAATTTCAAAATGTTCATATACAATACATTATGAAATCGGCAATTACCCAAATGATAATAATAATCCTTTTCTATAGCGCTGAACATTTAGTCAGTCTGACTGCTCTGTGACATTTTAAGATATGATATATTATATAGACCTTTCCCTTGGACATGCATTGCTTTGAAAAATATAAATGGTTCCGGACGATGTGCGAGTAAATATTAGAGAGGGAGAGAGAGAGAGAGAGAGAGATGAGGTTTAACGTCCACTCGACACAAACTGGGTCATTTTGGAACTAACATATGGTTCAATTTTATTTCAATAATTCGCTTGCGTGTAGGGGTCTTTAGCAGTGAGAGGAAACCGGAGGACCCGGAGAAAACCAACGAGGTTGGACAGGCGACTCTACTCCTTGTCACGTACAACCGGCGAATCGAAACCACGCCAGTTGACTCAATGACATACATTAGTAAATATTAAAACACGTTGGAAATTAGCATAATTTTGTAAGGGAACCTGATTGTATGGCTGTTGGAATTAAATTCTAAACTAAAAAAAACCTGTCTTTGCATGCCTAATTCTATCTTTTGCCACTATTTCTTTTTTCAGAATTTAATGAACTGCTTACAAAGTTACAAATTGCACCAACTGAACACCACGAGGAAGAGGAAGGCGGGCACGGGCACGATCATATACATGCCGCGAGAAAACGAAGAAGCGTTGCCCCTGACAGTTTATCAAGATCGAAACGGGCATCGCACGATGGCCATGATCATGGCCATGAATCCGACCATTCTACGGTAATTGTTGAATGAAACTTAATTAGAAATGAAAGGAAATGAGGTTTAACGTCTTACTTTTCTGTTCCGACTGGATCGATGAAGACGGGCGTACGCCATACAGTGTGCTATGAGGGATATTTTGTCCGGACGGCGAAGCTACGGCCTACTTTTATTTCAAATTCCAAATGTCAAATAAATAGACACTGTCCTTGCCAGGTTCTCCGTCCTGTACCACTGACAACGGAAAACCACACCGGGAGTCCAAATGAACTGTCTCGGTCAACACCGGCAGCGAACGGGAGAGCTATAATTTAGCGAGCCAAGGCGGCTTCTTACTTAATAAGACTGACAAACGGAAGGCTGTTTGGCCGTTCGAATGGTCTAACTTGTGCGATTTAGATCATAAGGTATTTCATTGAGTGGAGTGGGGTGGTTTCTAATCCACACTTGAGGGACATCGCCTGCCTAACCTCGTGAGTTTTCTCCAGGTTTCGTCCCTCTTCTAAAGACCTCTACGCGCAATCAAATTATTAAAGACCACATAAGATTAAAAATCTTAATTGAATGTACTTATAACCAATGGTTACTATATCCATTTTACGGCAAGTTCAAACCAATCTGATTCAAATTAATTCAGCTATTGAGGTTTAAGTATCCGAAAGCCAAAAACGGTTTTCAAATTTTCAATTACAACCTTAATCCGGTTGATTGGCTGGTGACGTCACGGGCACTACACATACTATATACATTGTCTATACAATACACACCACCAGTTGATAAGTGTGTCAATATGATTGTACTATGTGTTTGTCACGAAATGACTTAATTTGCGTCGAGTTGACGTTGCACCTTATTTCTGTTTATATTTGTTTAGAGAACAACGTTCATGGTCATGTCATGTATTTTATTTTTATAGCCGAAGACCTGTTACAGTGCTAAGCAATTGCTTACAATATTTGAATCACCAGCACCAGTATCTAAAGATGCTTTCACCCAACTCTGCCCAGCTCTGATTTATCAACAAATATCTGGCTCATGTAAAGGTGTTGTCGAAAATCAAAACCATATGCCAACTGCAGCGGAACGTAAGTAGTAACGTTAATGTAGTAAGTTGTAATAGCACAAGGAATAAGAAATGCAGTGATGGCTACCTACATGTAATTACAATCCGCCAGTAGTTATGCCATACTCATTTTATTAAGCAGCAGTAGGCCTATGCGACGTATGGTCGGCGGAGGGTAAAATTTCAATTAACTGGAACCTGTTCAAATAGGTCATCAGTCATCTGTCTTTTCGAATAGTGGTGCCGAATGAGCAAAATGGTTCCCTAAATTTCTCGGGAGAGCTGGCTTTTGAATGAAAATTACAGTGGCAGTAGAATGCATTTACAGAGGCTAAAACTTCTAAGTTTCAAAATGAAACTTCCACAATGAAATTTAACCATTGGCATACTGAAACACACATTTAAAACTAAAAATAAATAATTAATGAGTGTAGTATATATAATAATATTGTAAATTTTATTTTAATGCTGGTTGTTATAATCGTTCTTTCATTATCTGACATGCCATATTCACAGAGACCTCACAAATGAACAAGAACAGCCAAACGGAGGGAGGGGTGCTTATCCCCTAATTTAAACAATTTTATTATTCGTTTATTTCAGGATATGGATACGGAACAGCGGCTAATGTTATAATCACTCTATGTTCTGTTTTTGGAGCAATTTTGTTTCCATGCACTAAAGATAGGTGTTATGCATATTTTATGGCGACCTTTATGGGGTTAGCTGTAGGAACATTAGCCAGTGATGCCATTCTACATCTTATACCAGAGGTAAGTTCTAAAGACGGTGGACCTGTTTTTGTTTATTAACTGGATTACGTCTGTTGGAATCTATACTCCAGTGTATTTATAATACCAAACGAAGCTAAACAATTGCTAATACAAAAAAAATACCAAAACAATTTGGAAATTGTTAATAATAAATATCTGTAGTTTGTAAAACATACCAGAATATTAAAATGGCAACTGCGCAAATATACCTTGGATGCAAATTTCAAATGGACAGAATATTAATAGCTTGTACTGGATATCCATTTTAAGATTTTACAATTAAGAAATTATTTAGTACTTGTGAATCCAAGCACGGTACATGCCAATACAAATATGATGTGTACATTAGATTTACTATGCTATCTCATTAAATTTTATTATAGTGATATTAGGTGCGTAAATTTGGTCGGTGAAATTGATTAATGTATTTCTGTGGAACTATGCTGTTATATACATGCATTTAACAAAACTTTACAGGCGTTTGGAATCCATAAGCACGACGACCATGACCATGATCACGGTTCTGATGAAATTGTTGTTGAGCCCTTTGTTTGGTATGGTTTTGCAATGATAGGAGGTAAGTTTCTTTGGATTAAAAAAAAAAACCTTTTTAGACAAATGTAAGAATACAGAAATTTGATAGTACCTCTTGTGAAACATTTCTGTAAATCGTAGTTATTTATTTAATGGTTTATATGTAAGTAAACAATATGATAATCATTGATTTGTGCTTAGACATTAAGTGAGAGGAATATTATACTTTTTCCATTAAGGCTACGCTGAAATCAATAGGATATATACATTATTTTTTATCTTCAATTTGGTGGTCCTTCACATGATGAAGATAGTCTTATTTACAAATTTATATATTTTTTTATCAATAATAGGCATTTATATATTTTTTTTCAATTTAGGTATATATTTATTTTATCTGTTGGAGTCTGTATTCACTATGTTGGCACCTGGGCATTCGGTAAGTCAAAATCTTAAAATATTTTAAATATTCCTGATATAAGCTTTGTTTTTGTTCTATCATTCGAGTGCAATTTGTTTTAAGATCTCTTCAGCCATAAGCTGCGGTTCAGTACCAGTTTCCTTTCCTGTGATTTCGGTTGTCGGATTTTGCAGAATTAGAACTTGTATTTTGACTGATGTGCAGGAGAAGTATTCTTCTATTCAATGAGATGTCAAGGGATTGTGGTGTTGAGGCAATGGCAACACTTACCATGCCTAATTATTCATTTTCCCATGACAAAGGACAATCAGGATTTAGTTGTAATCAGTTTTGACCCAACCAAAGGAATACCTCTACAATATTTCGGAAATATCTCTAGATATTACCGCATAGTCTTTAACGGTTTAAATTTTGTGGCATTCTTATGAATACGAAAAAGTAAGAATTCTATGGAAGTATCTAAACTAAATAGTGCTAGTGCTACAACAGAAAACTATACTGGATGACTCACTAAAATTTTGATTTCTAATTACAGCATGCGTTACACAAACACACGTTTAACGGCAGCTATCCACAAAAGGTAGAGTACTTTTTTCGATAAACATATTTACCATTATCATATTTTAGATGTATTATAACTGTACAGTAACACGCATGGAGCTATAAAAAAATTGTTTTAATCCTGCGCAAAAAAAACAGCATCTGGACTATAGGTTGACGTAAAGATAAATAAGACAACCGACACTCACAGGATAAAATTATAGTATACACTTTTATATATTCCACTCATCTTCTTTGAGTGGCATTTAGCTATTGACACACGTAATAAACACAAAAACAGTTACTATTTTAATTAAAGCGACGTTTCGTTGAGGGTTGTCTCCGTTTTCAAGCATAATAAACTACCCATTGGCCATAAAAATAGGGGATAGGGGTATCGAAATGGAAGGTTATTGATTCGAAATGTCAAAATTATCGAAACTTATAGATTGTCTGAAATTAATGGGTTGATTTGTATGTAGTTCACAAATACATTGGATGTTAACAAGATTTTCCTTAAAAGATTGTTGCATATTTTATTTAACATCTTGATTTATTAATTCCTCTTTCTCAGAATTGTAAAATCAAACTTTTCTATTTTAAGCCTGTTGGTATGGAATTACAAGACAAAGACATACACGCTGTAAGTTTAATAAAGTTTCTAGACTATTTTGTTTGTATTGTATTTTTTTTAAAAGGAATTTGGGTATGATTATTCTTTGAGATAAACAGTTAAATATTTTATTATATAATGTTCACATTTAAAGACACCATATGGAAGAGTCGGAAACAGCTCTTAACATAGCCTATGATGGACTTTTCAAAAAAGGTCGTAACACAAATTAGCATGATTGAAATATACACTAGACAAGCATGTGAATTATTCAAAAAAGGTTGTAATATACAAGACATAGCATATTAATTATTCAAAACAGGTCGTTATAAACGAGGCATCGCGTATGACTTCCTCAAAACAGAACGTAATATGCAATATATAGCACAGAGAATATTCAGTGTACGAGACATAGCATATGAATTATTGAAAACATGTCGTGATATACAAGAAATGGCATATGTTTTATTCATAAAAAAATAATAGAAAAGATCAACAAAATGTTTGTGATGTCCACTTTGCAAATACAAAAGAAGATATAAGAAGGACTTAAACCCCATACTATATTTCGTTACAAAAACAGAACGTGAATAGCGCGAAATTTAATAATATTATAATGATATTTATTACACATTATTATTTACAGATTGCAGGCACAAGTGAACCTGAGAAAAGTAAGTTGAATTGACACGTCATTTAAGATGATTTATTGGTTTCACAGTACATCAGCTTGAAAGTTAAAATATTATATATCAGTTTCTTATAATTTAATATAAATGTTAGGGCATTCTATTAATAACATATTCACCAGCCGAGTGGATTATAATATGCTACACAGCTTTCTCAGTAAAATGATTCAATTTAGACACACTGTATTGGTCCTTGTGGTCATTCTATCACGTATGGTGATTAGAATATGATTGATAGACTCTTCTGATATAACAGTTTACTGTAATATACATTCACCCTTTGACCTGTGCTGATCTACAATTAATCAGTTTTAATGAGAAGCATATATATCAATGACATTTCATATTCTTTTACTTTTGAATGGTGATTTTTCAAAGAATTTTACTGATTTGTTTCATGGTTAAAACCTTAGAATGTTGAGTTTTTCTCCAGAGAATGAGACAAAATACTATCGAATCAGATGCATATTAGAAATAATGACAACCCCATTGCTGTTCCCTACGATTTTCCAGTCAAAATTTGCATGAAAAAGACAAAAGTTTATTAATCTATTTTTTTTTAGAATTACATCATCTAGCTCTGATGATTATTATTGGGGATGCTATTCATAATTTTGCTGATGGTCTTGCAATAGCTGCTGGATTTACACAAGGTGTAACAGAAGGTGTCAGTGTTAGTTTAGCTGTATTTTGTCATGAATTACCACATGAATTAGGTAGGTAAACCGGTAATAATGAGTATATAAACACGTTCTACAAAATAAAACTCTCCTCTTTGTGTGCTGAGGGAGGACGGGTATAGATATACAAGTACTTCTGTTTATCTACAAATCAAAATCCTCCTATGTGTGTGTGTGTGTTTTGGAGAGGGGGTGTATACAAAACCAACACAGCCAAATGGGTGTGTGTTGTGGAGAGGGGTGTAAACAAATACGTTCTACAAAATAAAACTCTCCACTTTGTGTGTTGGGGAGGGCGTGATTAGGTGTATAAATAAAAATACGGTCTGTTTGTATACCAAAAAAAAATTCTCCTGCGTGTGTGTATTGCGGAGAAGGGTTGTATACAAAAACAGCAAAGCCATTGGGTGCTCTTCTAATAAGGCAAGATCGTCTTTATGTGTTACATTTTTAAATGGAAGCGATTCGAGTTCTACTATGGATCGTGGGGGGGGGGGGGGTATATGTATTAACAGTACAAATATAGAAGTTCAAACTTCCCTTTATACCCAAACCTGTTTATGGAAACCATAGCTGCTACAAAATATATTTACTTAAAAAATCTGTCAACGAGAAGGGCAATTGTTGTTTTGAGTAGTTTAGCTAGCAGAGCCTGGAACACTATGCCGTGTTGAAATCTCCACCAAATTCTATGATGTTCTCTTAAGACTAATGTAATTAGTCCCGTAAGCATGTCCCCGTTTGTATGTCCTCAATAAATAGAACATCGATATACAAAACAAAGCAGCTGTGATCGTAACGCGAGCACCTTTGAGTAGAGAGACAGTAATACCCATGTACGTAAGTCACTGACTTCAAATTGATGTGTCTTCCATGCGTGTACTGTGTAGTCGCATCTTATCTGGGAGAACTTGTGGTACCTTACATGCCATCGAAAAATCTAAGGATCAAGTACTATAAAAATAACCTTGTTGTCCCAAAATATAAACCCAGCTCTTTTGGAGCTCATCCATTTGTGAAATTCGCTACCTGGAAATGTTAGATCCAGCCTGCCATTGGACTTCTGTAAATCCAGATTGAAAACTTACTTTTTCGAGAAATGTTTTGCAAGAGTGATTTGGTTTTTTTTGTAGCACTATGAGTACGATTATATGTGGACTTGGTGCTATATAAATGAGAAGGATAGCACATGTATTCTTAGAATTGATCGAATTAGATAAATTTGAACCAGAAATGTTTTTAATCGATTGTAAATAATCTCACGATATATTGTGTAACCTTTATTCCGGAATACATGTAGTATATTTTAAATTGGTCAACAAAAGTTGTAAAACGCCTAAAACAGACCCCTCCTATCCCATGACTGCTTGTTGATTTACAACCTTCAAAAACAAATGCAATTCACTAAAATCATTTTATAATATTTATTTTACTATCTATTACAGGTGATTTTGCTGTATTATTAAAAACTGGCATGAAATTTAAAAATGCCATTTTCTGGAATGTGCTGTCGTCGCTGACGGCTTTTATCGGTCTATATGTTGGTTTATCGGTAGCCGAAGATGACATAGCTAGACAATGGATATTTGCTATTACAGCTGGCATGTTTTTGTACATAGCTCTAGTAGATATTGTAAGTTATTTATTATAGTTCTCCTTAAATTGTTTATACACGTACGCCATTAAAAAGTCATTATGTAAGTCTTGGATAAAGAGCTGACAATCCGCGAGATAAAAGTTTTAAAAGTAGATAATGAAAACTGCACATACAATATTAAAAATACTTAATTCTGACCGAAATTATCAGTGTTTCAGGATGTTTATTATCGTAGCAACGGTACTTGACAACCGATGCTATGTCTCGATTATCTATTTTATCGTTAAATTTTTAAATCACTCGGGTATTCTAATCCATTTAAATCTCGACCATTGGATGCTCTAGAGAGTTGATTATAGGTGTGTCATGTAAACATATAATAGCTTATAAAACATTTGAATCCAAATTAAAGACCTGCAACAGGCAGATTTAACTCTACTTAATTCATCTTTAAACGAAATACAGTCGGTTTGACATAGCATATTGAACCTCGGTACATTTGGAAGGGGTGGAAAGAAACAATGAATGATTGTAAATAAAAACCTAAGAACAAAATAATCACCTGTGACTTTTCATTTCTTTTATAATTGTTATATATGTATATTATATACATGTATTTCTTATAATGGTATATTACTCTCTTGATGAACATGGAAGAGTTATTTCGATTAAATCTATTGAAATCCTGTAATAGTACCTTACTGTACTCTTCCTGCAGTACTTCGCAGAGAATCTGGAGTTATTATTATTTCACATCTAAATGAAATAAATATATTTAATTTGTAGTTACCACAGCTAGCACATCCTCCGTCGATTGGAATATTTGCAATGACCAATGTGGGAATATTAATAGGAGTGGCTATCATGTTATTGATAGGAATATTTGAAAATCAACTAAGAGTTAAAGGTATGTACTTTAGTTGTCATATATATCATCCGTTGCTACGTTCTATAGTTAATAGTGAACTTTACGTTGGTTCTTTACAGTCATTTAAAGTAGCTAAGTCTCTAACCCAATCTCACCCTAAGTCTTCTACATTGAAAACACGAATTATTTGTCAATTGAAATCAACATTGATGTTGTGATCTTACCGGGAAAAGATGGGCCTCTGATATCCAATATTTAAAATAAAATAAACATTTTACCATTGGTGCACGAATCCTGTACCATAACGCGTTCAGTCCCATTTGTAACAAGGGACTCGAGGAACGAGGCTAGACATATTCCAGAAGTCATTGAGACTTCTGGTGTGTTTCGTCGAACATAACTGATTTGAAATTAGGGTAAAAACGGAAATGATTGAATGAAAATCAGTTTATACATTCACATTACATTATTATATGCCTTGCGACCCACTTGTGTCAATTTCTAGGTCCCAAATATTAGCGATTTAGATCCTATAAAAGCAGAAAGTCAGACTTGGTGGTTGATCATCTCTGGTGAACAGCTTAATTCACGTTTGCCAGTAACAAGGGCCGTCAAGTAATATCTTGTTATTTTTTGTTCTATTACAGGATAAAAAGTTAGAGATGAAGTTAAATGTAATATAAGAGATTTAATTGTGATGCGGTATATAATATTCGTGATATACTTGTGATATATATGGTGTAATAAACATGCATTAGTTATCTCATATTGTCAGTACTTACATAACTGTGTTTAAACAATCTTTTGATTGTTTTCATTATTGAAATTCATATCTGAGAAAATGATGTATTTAATTAAAATAAGTTTAAACTGAAAATTACAACCATATACATTTAGCAAATACGCAGTGTATCCATATAGTCTGTCAATCAAAACTACATTGTTTATTTTAGGCATACAATTGTATATATTATATGCATAAATATTTCATTAATATATACCTAGAGGCAATTAACATGACATATAAGTAATATTAATATTATCTACATAAGATTTTAAAAACATTTATGTTTTCATAATGTTTTTTATGTTTTTATAATGCTATCTTATGTTGATGAAATTTAAATGTATTATATCCCGAATGCTTCATCATTGTTAGATTATGCATTCTTCTTCTTAGATACCTAATATTAAGACGGAGAGGACCACACCACAAATAAACAAAACCCATAAGACAAACCCCGCACAAAAGAGGCTTGAAATTGGCCCCATGCACTCTCGCCCTAAAATTGCATCTACCGTTATTTTGATTGTTTTGGGCCAATCTTCTAACCAATGAATAATGTGGGTGCTATCAATATTGTTAAAGGTAAATCTCTAAAAGGAATAACAGTATACGAAAATGGTCAAATTCCGTCAAGTATTTCCACAGTTCGACATCCTCTTGGGATGATACAAGCCAACGTTAGATAATAGGTATTAGAAATAATCCAAATGTATCCAAGTCTACCGATGATATTTTGGATTTGTTGTCTTCGTTAGTTGTTCGATGTTAATTACCTGTCAATTTAAATTGCGAAAATCAGATTTTATCCGGAAAACGACAATAAAGATCTGTGGCTTTAATTATGAATTGGATAATTTTTATGCCCTTTGAAATAATGATTAACAGTATATTTCTCGAATTTCTTGCTTTTCTTTTCTTTATTTTTGTTTGTTTTGATATGATATATATTGTCCATTTTACAAAATCCAGAAAATAATGAGTCAGTCCACAACTTCTTTTTTTGTTTAAATATAACCTTGGACAGATCATATTAACCAGATTCAATTAACACCCGGAGCTTTTAAAACATACAAATATTCAAATTTACTCTGGAATTTATGAAATTGTCTGAAAAGCCCAACTACAAGTTGTTTTCGCATACATTGTATATAGCTCAAACAAATCCACGATCTCAAAGATTGTGGGTTTTTTTAAACTGAAATATCATATTGTAATAATGAAATTCTGGACAGATTATTCTTTTGGTCTGAATATTTGTAACGGGACTTTGATTGAATACATAACTTTTATTACCTTGCTTCATTTATATATATATAGTGCTATAGACGGACAACAAAAATGAAATATATACGGAAATCAGGTTATAGTTTGATTTTATATTGTATTATATGTGAAAATTGCTAGAATAATTTAGTCATTTATGAAGAAATATATGTACTAGTAAACAAGGATTGCAAACCGTTTCTGAAAAAAAGCAACCTTGGAAGTATGTAAATAAAGGAGAATGGATGTAAATGTTTTATATAATCTATTAATTATGTAAATTTAATATAACTTTAAGTATTCAAATACATGAAATGTTTATTAAACTTTTATATAAAATATACGTTGTTGTAGTATGATGTTTTTAACATATTATTCATTCCGAAAGATATAATTCTAGCTGTTTCGTCCTGGCATTGTGCTGGATACATGTTTGAGACCGAAGACTTTCAGGATTCCCTTCCCCTACTCCGCTGTCGAACTTCAAAGTGTTTGGATCCAATTGTTTAATGTTCACGCAGATTATCAAAGCATTAATAAACCGCTGATTTCAAATCTGATAAAAAAAAATACCAAATACACTTGGTATATAATTATGTAAATATACCATCTGTTGTTCTATTCTTTATATCTATCTCTTATCTTCTTAAGGTTGATCATTTAGTTTCATTTCCAGTGTTTAAGTTAACGTACATTATATCGTAGCATACCGTGCATTCAACAAACTTTATGTAGGTGAATTCTCTAATAAACGTGTCTGGATTTCTGGTGAAACACAGTTCGGTGATCTACAACGTTTCTTCCATACAGCCAGTTTTATTTTTAATTAGATTGTGGTGTTCATTTGTGTTGTAAAATGTGCTCACAGTTTACTTTTCTCAAGTTATTTTGCTTGTACGAGAAGTTGACCCAGCCAATATCTATCTTGGAAATTGCACTAACGTCTACAGAAATGAAATGGGGATTAACGGGCTAATGAAGACGGGCATACGGTATGTGTGCTATGGGGGAATTTTTGCCCGGGCAGCGGCACTATCGCCTACTCTTATATCGAATTCCAACTGCCAAGGGATCTTTTACGTGCATTTCAATGTATACACGGGACCTCGGTTTTTCGTTTCATGAACTTTCTCGGCCAATGCAGGGATCGAACACCAGACCTCCAGGCCACCTAGCCACCGTGGCTCCTTACGTCTACAGAGTTGGGGTATTATTTAAGCAATGTCACGGAAAATTGTTGATCCGATTTATAAGTGATAAAGTCCAAAGTAAATTCCAAATAGAACTGTTGGTAATCCTAGATAATATTACAATAGTTATAACAGTATTGTCCGTAATGTCGTATTATGTTGATATTATATTTCAGTGAGTGCTAGACGACGATGTTGATTTGGTGGGTTGCTGTACTGACCGCGGTCTGTACCATTGGTAAGGCTATTATTTATTATACATGTATAATGAGAGTTGAGAGATATTTATATCTAATGAAATGACGACGGATTGGACAGGTATGGGTTTGCTTACTTTTCGTACGAATGTGAAGGTTTACAGGATCTTTTAGGTGCACAAAATAGCCAGACCAACAAAATTTATAATTCCAGCGATATTAATGATTTATAATCAATATGTTACGCCGTGAATTAGCCACGGTACTTTTGAAACATACGGAGGATGGCCGTGTCTGTTTTTAACACAGGGGTTTAATGGTCGAATGGTTAGTGCCTGCGCGTTGCATCATAAGGTCTGTCATTGAGTCAATTGGCGTGATTTCGATTCGCCGGTTGTACGTGACAAGGAGTAGGGTCGCCAGTCCAACATCGTGGGTTTTCTCCGGGTCCTCCGGTTTCCTCCCATTGCTAAAGACCCCTACCCGCAAGCGAATATTCAAATAAAATTGAACCATATGTTAGTCTCGAAATGTCCTAGTTTGTGTCGAGTGGACATTAAACCCTATTTCTCTCTCTTTATGTTTTTAACACGTATGTGGTGTAAAATTAGATACAACAATAGCCTTATTGGATCAGATTAATTGTCGAGCACTTATTGTCATATAGCCCTGAACATTAGTTCACCCAAGGGATCAAGGATAAATACTGTTGGGTGTGAGTCGTGCACAGACCTCCAAGTGTTACTAGGTTCCGCTATGTTGTACTATATTTATTAGCCATTTAAACTCCTTCAGTTAGAAATGGTATCAGGTGGTCTGAAAAAAAGTAATCACATTTTCATGTCATAGATTCAGTAAATTTAGGTTTGTCGCAAGCTCAAGTGACTTTCTAGTAAGGTTTCAATTTGTTTTATATGAAATTTGCATTATATAAATTTAGTGGAGAGCGGTAGGCTGATGGTGATGAAAGCTAATTCAGGAGGAATGCAAATGGCCAGTAATCATAGTCATTTTATGAAAGATGGTAAAATGGTATTTTTATCGGGAGTAAACCTAGCTTGGATTCACTACGCCTATGATTTTGGTAATGGCCAGTTTAAAAACTCAAGGGCTGACATGGAACGATATATGAAAGAACTCCATGAAGCTGGTGGAAATTCGATGAGTAGGTACTTATTATACAGATTCTGGTAATAAACTATCTCAGAATCGATACACGGAAACCCCTTTGAAATTTGAATTGTCTAAACAAGCTTTACCCAACATCATACAAACGATGGATACTTCAGTACTAGTAGATGTTTAGTCCAGTAACTGTTCCCCAAGCGCTACCCATGCTGGTGTTGTTTTTTGGCTGCTACGCTCATCGAAAAAAGTCTAGGTTCCGCAGATTCATGTAGGATCGGCATGCAAATCTGGCATGATTGTTTCTTGGATAATTGTGCATCGGTTTCGATTTTGAATTTTGGATATGACTTCAAAATTTTAAGATGGCTACGATGATGCCATAGTCAGTTCCTGTTCCACAGAACGATGGTACTTGCTTATTACAATTTTTACAGAACAAGTAACAAACGATTTGGAGACACCCGTTTAATTGTATTCAATGGTTTGAAAGTAGTATGCGAATTTCGTTAATAATTAAAGGACAATATTGGTGCCAGTCATTATCACATATGTGATAGAACTGGTTAAACACGTTCCAAATATTATTTTATCACAGAGATCATTGCTACGATAGATGCGTAATCAATGCTTCAACAATCGGAAGTGACGAACGCAAAAGGAAAACACGAGTTATCCCTCTATATAACTCCACGTATCTGTTGTCACCCGTCACTTCAGTCAGTTATATAGAGGGATAATTCGTGTTTTCCTTTTCCGTTCGTCACTTCCGATTGTCGAAGCATTGATTACGCATCTATCATAGCAATAATCTCTGTGATAAAATAATATTTGAAACGTGTTAACCAGTTCTATCACATATGTGATAATGACTGGCACCAATATTGTCCTTTAACATTTTGTAGGAGTGTGGATATTTATGCAGGGTGAAAGTTCCCCGGATTTTACTACTGATGGCCACGTCAGAGCTCTCGATCATCAAGGAACCTATATCAGTGATTTCAAAGAAATGGTGGCATTAGCGAAAAAATACAATATACTGCTTTTTCCTTGTCTATGGAATGGTGCTGTGGTTAGTCAAAGTCTTCACAAAATGACAGGCGTTATCAGAGATGACCTTAAACGGCAGAGTTTTATCGACAACGCTTTAATACCTTTAGTTAAAGCAGTGAAAGGAGATCCTACTATAGGAGGTTGGGACTTGATGAACGAACCCGAAGGGTTGGTCAACACTGCGTATCGTAATGCGGAGCCTTGCTTCAGTTCTTTGTCAGATGGAGGCGGATGGGCGGCAAAGATGTTCACCTATAGAGAATTTCTAAAGTAAGAAATAATCTAATATGTATACAATGTTCTTATTTAAAACATACCCGCACGTCAGTGGTATTTGCGACAAGCACCGAACATACTAATTAGGGCCTGCTCATATGGTGCATATATTTCAGCAACATAAATGAATAATATTTCCCTGCATTAATTTAGGTTTTTCAACTGGATGGCAGCAGCTATAAAGTCTGTAGATTCTGGTGCATTAGTAACTGTCGGTGCTAATAATGCCTATGTTGCCACTGATGAGTTTGGAAGAACCAATTTTTACAAAGATGAGTGTCTTATCAAGGCCGGTGGAAAGAAGACGGTAATATATCAGCTGATTTCTCATAAAACTTTTTTTACGTTTTGAATTACCTTCGTTTAACATATTCCATGTGAAATCATGTCCCTCACTATGTCAAAGTATCACGTCCCAGTTTGTTAAACCTTTCGGGCAATGTGGGAACCCCACGGTATTTCGCTTATTTGCAAGCCCGGTCCTCGATCCAGCCTGTGCCCTGTCTCCCCCCTCCCCACCCCAGTAATTTAAAAAAATAAAAAAAATATTTGTTTTATTTTTCGGTAATTAATCATACATTTCCACTTAGTGATAGACTTGCATGTTGTAGAGTCTGAATGATTTCTTGCCAAACCCATCTTGCTGTAAACCTACTATTAACAATCATACATGAACCACATTTACGATCCTCAACGTTTTGGGGTCTAGGTTCAACGCGGCTTGAATTTTATTCTCTTTGATGCACTAACTCCATTTGTTTCACACTTTCCTTTCCGGTTATATAAGCTAGTGATTGGGCGACAGGCGGTATCTGTTCACCTCTATTTATCTCGTCGATGGGTGCCTGAAATACGATCAGATTGCATTTCCAGCAGTCCATTTGTGATTTTCCACTCCAGTCTGATAAACTGGTCAGCTCTATTTATCTTGACGAAGGGTGCCTGAAATACTGCAGTCTAGTTTTCAAAATTTTCTGATGGAGGCTGCCTGTCCCCAGTTGCAGCTCGCGCCTTCGTCTCCACTGACTCGAGGTTCCCTATTGTTAGTTATGCAGGACGAAGGGTCTGACAATGTAAGTGTCTAGTCGGTCGGATGGCACCGAACCGTCACCCCGCACGTAAAACATCCCCTGACAGCTAGAATTCAATTGCCGTCCGCACACAATTTCCTGCATAGCCCACTGCATATATACTAATACCCCCACTTCCATCAACGGATACATTTGAAGCATTTATCAATATGAAAATATTTTTTTATGTTATAGGGTACGTTGGACTTTTACACTATGCATACTTATGCTTGGTCTGGTTGGAGCGATCTATCTCCATTTAAGGTAGGTAATACTATCTTGACCCTTTAAGTGCAATCGATAAGCGATATGTAATGAATACATTAAATTAATTTATTGTTATTGTGAACGCGATATAACACTACTGTAAATTGTTTAAATTTTGTACTGGTTATTGTATTTAGTCAATGACTAGCTAATTGTATGCCAACTAATTAATATGCAAAGCTATGTTCGTCGTTCCTTTCCGGATGTAAATGTAGAACGTCATCTTTATGATTTCAGCATTCTGTTGGCGATTACAAGTTAGATAAACCTCTAATTGTAGCTGAATTTAGCACCAAGAAAAGTAACGGGATGACAGCACCACAATTATACCGTTATGTATATGATCATGGTTATAATGGTGCTTGGACGTGGGCTGCCACTGATAATAGCGCTGGTACCCCCTGGGAGGATGAGAAAAAGGGTGTTGCAGAGATACGAAATGAAAAAGACCCTTTAGTTGCTTTTACAATTTAGATTTAAAAAAATAATATACCGCATGCCATGTTTTTATTCCCATTATGTTACGATACCAAAGGTTTTTTGAACAATCAAAGAAAAATAAAATGAAACAGCCTAATAGGTAATTTACTGATTTTTTTGTTTCTTCCTACCGTATCTCACTTCTTTTTGTATTGTGGAGTTCTTAATGTGGATACTTGTGTTCGAACAAAATCCTTTCACGGTTTTAAGCTACCCTGACACTTGAACGATTTCGTGAACAATCGTAGAAGAATGAAATGACATATTATGAGGTCTTACAAATTATCAAAATTAGCCTAGTAGGTGATGTTCTGACTTTTTGTTTCTTCCTACCTTATCTCGCCTTTTCTGGTATTGTGGATATTCGTGTTCGATACGAAATCCTCTTACGATCTTATTTTACAACTTGTGTAGATGTTACTTCTAATTCAATAGCTGTCTTCCCGTATTTGCGTCATAAAAATATAATTTAAAAATATGAAATTGTAACTTTAAATTCCCTTTTTAAAAGAACGAATTTTGGATAGCAAACTGGCTAATCGGTTTAAAAAAACAAGATTCAGAATCTAGACAACAACGGTTTATTATAGCTTGTTTCTCTGTATCTAAGAAGCTGGTGGAGCAAATAAAAATTTTCAAGTAATGGTTTAGCGTTTGGTGGTCAAGCCAAAACAAGACTTAAGTGTGTTAAATTATGTCATGACCTCGATGTTGATGAACACAAATCAAATACCATTTTGTTCCACAGCATACCAGTCGTACAACATAGCGTTTGGTGGTCAAGCCGACAGAAGGAGATTGAAATAATGACTTGAAATTGTTATTTAGGTAATACTATAGGAGACTGAAACAAGACTTGTGTGTTAAATAATGTCGTGACCTCGATGTTGAGGAACAAATACAACTATGCATCACAGCATACCAGTGGCACAAAGATGGCGGTGTGATATCATTAGAAACAAATTTAAGATTTGAATGGCTATTAGTTTTTTTAGAATTGACTAATTTGAATAAGTTTTGATTATGTTGTCTAGTAAGAGCAAATTTTATTGTTTCTACCCTTAAATCTTTTTTGTTCTTTTCTTAGGTCATTCTACTGCCATACAGAACATATGTGGTATAAAAGTCCCGATGTGCCATTTCAAGCAATAATGAATCCCTTGCAAACTACAATATTATGAAATTTGAATCTCTAATAGGAATATCAGTCAAAAAATGGTTCAATTCCGTTCAGTATTTACGAAGATATGTGGAATAGAATTCCATCGATTGAATCCGAACCGTTTATCTAGCAATTGTATTATGATTTTGTTTTCTTAATTAACTGTTAAATAATCAATCTGAGTACATATTTAGCGTGTATTAAGCCGTGAGAATTTTGATATTTTAGCTTAAATGCAAATGTCGCATCGGGACTTTAATTTTGGATTTGTATTATCACAAAAAATTGCTACAAAGGGTTTCTCAACTGGTTCTAGTAGGGTGTAGTGTACTTTATAACATACTAAATATATTCAATTTCGTAATGATTGAACAGCTCAGTGACATCCAAAGTTTTCTAAATATGTTCCTTGTCCCCAAAAACCTGGGGATAGACATCAAGATCATCAAATTTGAGTCAATAGTTATGGACTTGCGGTCAATTGGAGGTGTTGGCGGCCATTTTTGACATAATAGGAAAAAACATTTTTAATGATCGTAATGAGTTAGTTGCCCCCCAAAACCTAAAATAGACCCCCAAGATCATTAAATTTGAGTTGATAGTTACATCATTATGATCATTAAGACGTTTCGATGGCCATCTTTGACGCCATCTTGAAAAAAAAAACAACACTTTTCCGGGGGTCCTACTTTGGTAAAATTTTAGTATGTTATAAAGTACACTAAACACTGCAAGAATCAGTTGAGAAACGTTTTGTAGCAATTTTTGGGGGGTTAAACAGTATTTTGACCTGACTATAATAATTTTCTTGCCTCTTTAGATCTGTATATATTACAGGTATGAAGCGGTCCTGTTTGATTAGCTGCCTTACATAAGGATTTGTGAAACTGGAACTGGAAACGCCCAAAAAAATCGATAGACATCATATACAATTGGTAAATAATTAAGCTCAAGTTAATGTGAATGGACTGGGGCATTCAAACTAACAAATAACTCAAATGGGAAATGACTTGAGATGTTCTTGCAGCATTGTCCCGTGAACGTCATTCGTATACGTATGTCCGTCTTCATTGGCGCGTGACAGTGGGACGTTAAACATCATTACATTTACTTGTCAACATACAATTACCAGAACCTATAGTAGATAAATTAACGAAGAGTCTGGGTAGTCCGTGGAAATTCACGACAGTTGCTCCGCCCTAGATTCTGTTTGGGACATATTATGTCGTCACCAACAACTGGGCAATAAACCTGACAGATTATAAACAACCTCATCCCACCCTGTCACGTACAAACGTGGAATCGAAACCACACCACCTGACTCAATGACACACCTTTTTATCCATTCGCCCCCCCCCCCCACCACCACCCCTGATTAAGATCGTTCTTGCTTTATAGTTCCAAAATAGATAACGAAAAATGAATATAATGAAAAATTTATTCAAATTACATTATTCTAAGCGAAGCTATGAGTATTGGAAGATGTAGCATAGATTGTTTATTATCGCAGCAATGGTTCTAGACATATGAGACTAAAGTTCCGATTATCCACTTTATCGTTAATTTTTTAAATCTCGCGGGCGTTCTAATCCATTTAAATCTGCCATTCGGTGGCTTAGAGTGCTGATAATGGGCTTGTCATGTTAATAAATGTTTAAATAGCAGATTATGTATCACTTGTGATAACGAAAGTAAAAGCACTTGGTATATATGTAAATATACCATCTGTTGTTTTGTTCTTTACGTGCATCTCTTATCTTCTTAAAGTTTGATATAATTTAATTCCCATTGTGTAAGTTAACTTTTTACGTTATATTTTTAAAGTTTATTAAAATAAAGCCTTAAAATAGATGGTATCTATAAACAGTCATACCTTGTTAAAGAATAATCCTATTAATCCTATAATTCACTATTGCCAGTTGAGAAATTGGCAAAATATCATTTTCCTCTTCAAATTCAAACGTTTGAGTATAGGTACTCCATGGTGGAGAATAGAAAACAAGGGAGGTAATTGGGAGGTAATTGTGTTATTATTTCCGGTGTAAATGAGTTTTAAGTGTGAGAATGACACCTATGATCGTATCATAGTGAGTTGACAACCTATTGAGCAAAAGACATAGAAATAATTATGTTTTGACTTTCTTAGAAAATAGAAAATTGTAACTTTAAGATATAGCACTCTAGAGTAGTTCAGGTAGGTGAATATAAATACTCTAATAAACGTGTCTCTGGATTTCTGATGAAACACAGTTCGGGGACCCACAATGTTTCTTCCATGAAGCCAGTTTTATTTTAATACGTTGTTCTGTTCGTTTTTGTTGTAAAATATGTTCAAAAGTTACTTGTCCCAATTTATTTTGCTTATCAGTGCAAATATGTCACCTGGCCCAGCTCATCTTTTTTTCGTGGGAATTGCACTAACGTCTACAGAGTGTTGTACCTATTTAAAAATGCCAGGAAAATTACTGATCTGATTATTTACGAATGGTAAAGTACTGATCATAATGTCGTATCATGTTGATATGACAGACTGGTACAAAGTCGATGGTTTCCATTTATATTTATACAAAGTCCCTTTCGAGGGCTATACATTTTTACCAAAAATGTTGCAAGGCCTGGATGCTGGAAGGATTTTCTGATATGCCACAGTTGACATGACGTCATCATTACTACTACCGGCTAGTTCCTTTTTCCTTTTTGGAAACAGGTCTCATCCATGGTTACAAATCTGACCAAATATTATCAGGATCTGCTTCAAAGCGGCAGAGAATATATAACGGGACATCAGGAATCTGACACGTTCTGATCCGCAATCAAGAGTTTTGGCACCCATCTTGAAGAATTGTGTTCAACGATTACATGAGAGATGCCCACAACACTGTCAATATGTCGATTGGTCCATCATCGATCAGCCATGACCATGTCATGCACCCGGGTTATGTTTTCGTGAATGGTAACTGTTGATGTCCTTCCAGTACGCGAGTCATCGTCAAGGCTTTCTCTGTCACGCTTAAATGCCACAGCCCACTGTGGAAAAAGAAGAGGCATACTCCCCGAAAGTGGAGACCATGTCGGCATTTATCTGTGTTGGGGTTAGTCCTTTCAATTGCAGGTACTTGATGACTGCAATTGCAGTTCATATGTCTATGATTCATTCAATGATATTGATGGTGGCAAACGTTTGTTTTAATCCAACTGACCTATCCTTTTAGAACTTTTCAGCCAGCCCTCGTATTATATTTCAGTGAGTCTTAAACGACGATGTTGTTTTGGTGGGTTGTTGTACTGACCGCGGTCTATACCACTGGTCAGGTTATTAATTATGTATATTGGAATGTGGTTTAATGTCCTTCTGTTCTGCTCTCACTGGGCTAATGAAGAAGACAGTTATATTTAATAAGGGAGAGAGAGAGAGAGATTTATATGTAACGAGATAATGGATGGGACGTGTTTGCCTACTTTTTCTCGACTTTTAATGACCTAGGGATCTTTTACGTACAGAAAATAGCCAACCAACAAAAATCTAATTGTAGCAATATTAATGATTTATTAAACATGCATTATGTAAGAGCTAAATCTGCCTATCGCAGGTCTTCTTTTAGGCCAGAAATGTAATCTAAATTATTAATTAGACATTAATTATCTTATCCAGACCATAATCAACTCTCGATGTCATCGCTAGCCTATGATATTTACTGGATTATGATCCGATTTGCTGCTCAACTTTCATTCATAACTAAATCATTAAATCATGAAATGGATAATCGAGACTTTTTTCTTTATCGTAACGACTTTAGTAGTGATGATCGAGGCTATATAGACCGAAAATTCGATCGCTAAATTCTCGGTTCAGAGTGGATCAATTTGACTGAAATTTTTTAGCAAATTATCTTTACATTATCTAGTTTTTAACTATTATAGTGAGAACTGCCAACTCTTTATCTAATCTCCCATAACGTATCTTTAATATTATGGTACGACGTAAATATATTTTTGAAAGATATAGACGATGACTGTGTGTACATTCCACACACATGTGGTGTAATATGATGCAAAAAAGCATTATCAGGCCAGGGTCCTGTTTCACGACATTTTAACTAAAGATAAAATCCAAATTTTAGTAGATACTTCAATTTTGATTGGCTAAGCACTACAATCAGTCTAAAATTATCCAATCAAATTACTAAAATTTGGATTTTATCTTAGTTAAAATTTCGCGAAACAGGCCCCAGATTCCTTGTCGAAAATTTAACAATGATCAGGATTTATAATTAGATTTCCCTGTAGCCCAAATTACATGTGCACATTAGTTCACCCAACGGGAAATACTATCCATTAGTTGATTTTAAAATTTAGATTGAAAAATATAATATACCGCATGCCTTATTTTTTTCCCATTCTGTTACGATGCCAAAAGTCTTTTGAACAATCAAGGTCTTTTGACATGCCAAGCGGGGCGATGCGAACAACTTTATTAAAAATAATAATTACATTTTCATCTTCCAGGTGACCGGCCTACGTCTGGGGTCTTATTTAAAAGGAACAATTTCGATTTTATTTTGCAGAATAAAACTGCTTCATTTTGTGTTAAAAGCCCTTAAAATCACCTACCTTTGGGTCGAGCAACTGTAACTCAATATACGTGATACGTTTTCAAACAACTTAAAGTAGTAATATTCGATGTCTGGATAAAACCAGACTTTTATTTTATACAAATAACGTGCAGTTGAAATGTACCTTTCGTTATCAAGTACAGCACTTTTGTTCAATAGAAATAATGCAAGTTTATACAATATTGATGTTAATCCGAGAGAATTTTTTGTTGTAGTGAAGACAATTACACCTCCTCACCTCCCCGTTGTGAACTAGGTCGTTTGTGGGAAATGTGACGGATAACAACTACTGTAATTCACTGTCCCAATACTAAATTATTCTACAATACATAAAATGTCATACTCTAATTTATTTTGTGAACTCAACTAGCTAGGTCGCTTCTGGGAGATGTGACGGATAACAACCACTGAAAATCATTGTCCCGATACTAAAAATTTCTACAATACCCAAAATTTCCTACTCTAATTTACTTGGATGTCTTTTTACACGGACCTGCTTTTTCTCCCTGCTTACACCCTACTCATGATCCCTTTGAACCGCGGGTTGGGAAACACGGTTCTCAAACACAATGTCATGTTTTTGTAATCTACTCCCTTTGGTTAATGATAAGAAAAAACTCTTTAATCAATGATTATATGAAACCAGTTATTTAAAAATGTTTGATTTACAATCAAATTCTAAAACTTATTCCTAATCGCTAACGAAGAGAAATTCTAGTCTAAGATTAGCTAATCTGACATTTGAGAATCTCAAACTTAGTCAACTACTAATCTCTAATTAGCTAGTTACCGATTAGACCTAATCACTGATTATTTTAGACACTGTTCGAAAATATGGGCCTTTTTGTTTTTCCCTACCTTATCTCACTTCTTTTTGCGTGAAGCATGCGTGAACACGGTGGGAACTCGACGCGAACACTGCCAATGGTGCGTATCAATCCGAAACTGCACGCAGCGATCCATCTACGTCATACTTCGAGATAATGATCACTGCCCTAGTTAGCCTCCATTTAAAACGCTCACGTGATCATTTTGGGGCGGGACTTGTCGACTGGACGACTGCTTTGTGTACACAACAGAGTAAACATAACCCGATCAAGCACGTGTTTTATGTAAACACGTGTCATTGACAAAATGTCAACTTCTGCCATTCCGGTAAAAGCGATATATAATATGTGCTAGTGGGTAATATTGCAATGCATTCTTTGCTATTGTAAACTGTCTTTAGAGTTTCAATCTGTTTATCTTTCAAAACAAGGTTAGATACTACTAAATTTGTCTTCGCAAACAAAACCGCCTCCGTGAAATTATCTTTCATGGACGCCGCCATATTGAATAATTAGAGGACTATTTTGTGATTCGGCTTTGGTTAGTTTGACATCTTTCATACACACAGAGGCTAAATAAACATATTTAATTTCATTCAATATGACAATAGAAGAGAAATAAATACTTCTAAAAATTACTAAAAGCATACTCAGTGTTTTCGACTAAAATCGTCGATGTAGGAATTAAAATATCGGTTAATTAGCTAGCTGTAGACAGGCAGCCTAAGTTTGGGATGTATCAATCCGTGTCAGTGCGTGTCATATGAAACCATCACGAGCGGCAGACTTAAACAATGATCGAACAATACTTAACCTATGCATAAACAAGTAGTGCCATTGCTTATCAATACTTACCAATGCGACCGATTTAATTTATGCCGTGCATTGCGTAGACAGTGCGTAACTTAGACGTGTACAATGCGCAAACCGCGCGAAAACACGACTACCGCCGAAATGGCACGCCCGTGTGTCAGAGTCGCATAATTCAATAATTGTCCTTCAGTATTTGTGTGATACCAGGAACTTACGCATAAATGTTACGACGTTACGGTTCAATCACAATGCCACCTTGACACTTGCACGACTTTTGTCAGAGCAATGTGGAGGCAGAAAAACAAATATAGCAATTCTATCTCCCTTTTCTCCCCTTTTTGAATAGCCATTTCTGTTGATTTTTGGCATTGAATCAAGAAGAGGGTTTAAATTTTCTGTCACGTTTTTGTAAATTATCATAGTTTAGAGGAGAAAGGTTGACATAGTTTAGAGGAGAAAGGGTGACATAGTTAAGAGTTTGGTTACGGTCATATGTATACGTTTCAATAATATGCTATTTTAAGTGTGTTTTTAAAACTCAGCGGTCAGCCGCGTACGCATTTTGGAGTAAAGACCTGTCGATTTGTTGCTCTGTCTGTAGTGAAAAACGTTCAGCTCACCGAATATTTGGGAAATAGTTGGAGCCGGCCAAATAGAGTCGAATTAACATTTAAGTTTATGGGGAAATTCATTGTGGTCTGCATCCATATAATATCATTAACATGCACTTCTGTCCCTTCTACTGTAAAATGGCTGGCATTTCCAAATTACCGTCCGACACTCCACAGAAGCGGACATAATTTGATCGCGCTGTCGTAGTTATTATATATAAATATAAACAAAATTGTCAGTGGGGTATATTCTTCTTTTCATTTTTCCATTTGCTAAACTATGTGGTTTTATTAATTAAAACGAGTGAAGGTGAAACGAGTATTGTATTCCATAAAAATCAAATTTTCTTTGTTGGTGTTTGTTTTTGTTTACAGTCATTTGTAAAAGTTTAGGATCACCAAGTGTGTTTGGTGTCTTTACTTGTTTTGGGTCAGTTTTAATCAATTAATAAAATTTATTATGAAAGCATTCGAAAATTTGTCGACAAATCTCCTCACTTAATCCTACAAAAAGACCTTAAAGTGTTGCAGTACTCAAGGAAGTATATTCTGATACAGAAAAAAATGAACGTTAGGCGAGTCAAAACATATCTATGGGCCTAGAAGCGTATTCCATACCCTGTTTATCTAATGCAATCACTTCTATTGATAGATGTAATCAAACGCATCAGGGGTTAAAAACAAAAATGACACAAAACCCCTTGGTGGCCTTAAACCTGTGCAAATGGCTGTACATTACTATCGTTGTCCAAACGATTTTATTCAACCTAAAGTATTCCATAATTGTATATTTATATCCCAATGTATCAACCTAGGACTAACTAGACCACCAGATTCGTTGTCATTTTATTTTAAATACATAAAGTTTAAAAATTACCACATTTACTGAAGAAAGATGTTTTTAATAAAACAAGGGAGGTCACTCTGAGTATACACACTTATAATTCACGGGGAATGTCTTGAGAAATAAGATTTATTATTTGTTCTCTCGCCATTTAACGAAAACTGATACTTGAAACGATGTAACTTTGTCTTTGCTGCCCTACACTGAATGGTATTCGTTTAGAATATGACCAAAGCTAAGCAAGTCAGAATGCCAATAAGACAAAATCGAGCAGATATTTGTGTTGAGTGACCAGTAGGTGGCATGGGACATTCATCTTCCCAACCAATAGACTCATCCTGTGAATTTTGTTCAACTAGCCAATCAATAAGAGGTTTGAAATATTCCATGAGAGGTGCAGCGTCCATTTTTTTCGAGCCTACTATTTTCTCCATTGCGTATTCCCATGGTTTTGATGATCCTAATTTTAACACATCACTGAAAGATAACAACATTTATGGTGAAATACATAATTTAAACGCCAATCGTACGAGTCTGGGGACATTTCTAGCTGTTACTGTGTTACTATTAGTCTTAGTAACTCCCCTTAAAAGGCCTCGTCAATGGCCATCTTCAATAGGCTCGACCTCTCTTAAACTCCATACATCTTATCAGGCCCTTCACGTAATGCCTTGCATATTTCGTCACTAATTTCTATTGGTCACTGACCCAGCTCGGGTCCTTTCAAATTCCTCGATAGAAAATGTCATCTCGCGCTTTCCAGCTAAAATATCTACCTGTGATAATCGAGTTGCAAAGTTCAAGGTTCGTTCAATGTCAAGGTTTCCGTTTTGGTCGCCATGTTTAATTTGAGTGTGTTTGTTTCACGACCTCTGATTAAACAAAGCTATTATTCACGTGTCTGCGGTAAAGGGAGACAACGTACCTATATCTTCGGTAATTTCAGACTATGGTAGCAACGACTAGATGTTGTAAACTCGCGGTCGTTGTTCAGGAACATGGTCAATGGCATACAACATGGCATATACGATATTTAAACTCCCTTTTTAAGAATATCAATTTTGGATAGGAAACTGGTTGATCGGTTTACATGACTTAGATTTAGAATCTAGAAAAAAACGGGATTATTACAAGCTCGTTTCTCTGTAGCTGAGAAGCTGGTGGAGCAAATAAATTATAGGTTTGTTGTCTTGTGCTCAAGCCGGCAGAAAGCGATTGGAAATAATTACTTTAAATTATTTAGATAAAATTATAGAAGACTGAAAGAAGACATGTATGTTGAATATATTTATGTCCTCGATGTTGACGGACAAAAATCAAATATTACCCCAGTCACGCGATAATGGGGGTACAACATCAATAGAAACAAATGAAAAATTTGGACGGCCATAAGTTCGTTTAGAATAGAAAAATTTGAATACATTTTGGGACCAATAATTATATGATATCTGAGTACTTTTAGTCGTTCTGACCTTTAATCGATTTGGCCCTTAAGCCATTATCCTGCCTTACATAACTTATGTTCTGTTAATTTTGTAATTTTTCATGGTACAAACCTTAATAATTTTCCTGCCTCTTTAGATCTGTATATATCACAGGTATGAAGCGGTCCTGTTTGATTAGCTGCCTTACATAAGGCTTTGTGGAACTGGAACTGGATTACAAAACTTACAAAATATCTGAAACGCAAAAACATAACACATTCGGTACACAACCACACAGTAATAATTTTGCAGACAAGGTAAGATGCGCCTCCCAGCAGCTTCCTACGCTCTCCATTTCCCGATTTTTTTTTACCATCTTTTAAGAGTTTTATCTAATAAACACAAAGTTTGTTCGTTGGTCAAGTATTCAATAAACATAAGTCTAAAAGTAATTTTGTGAAACACTCAAAATCGATAAACATCATGTTATACAATTGGTAAAAAAACTAACTTTGCGAGTACAAGTTAATGTAGGCGGACTGGGCGACAACAATATCCTAGTTTGTGAACTCCTCAAATGGGAGATGCGTATGCGTTTGTTCGTCTTCGCGTGTGCAGAACAGTAGGACATTAAACAGCATTGTCCTGTTGAAAGGGACCCTATTACATTAGACAAAATACAGCCTCCTGATAGTGTATTTAGCTGGTATATATGGTATTACCTGGTATACAGTGTATATATTAGCTGGTATATATGGTATTACCTGATATGCAGTGTATATATTAGCTGGTATATATGGTATTACCTGTTATACGGTGTATATATTAGCTGGTATATGGTACTACCTGATATACGGTGTATATATTAGCTGGTATATATGGTATTACCTGATATACGGTGTATTAGCTGGTATATGATATTTCGCACCTGGGTCAAAATCATCTTCACTTCTCATTACTGGTGGTGAAATTCCTTGATACTTACATCTTAAATAATGAAATATAATAATGAATGAAAATGATTACAGTATTACAGGAGATCAACACATTAAAAGGGCGTCTGAATTTTAGGTCCGTGCATGTACAACAGTTAGCCTTCATTTCGTTAAATGTGAAAACTGCCATTGATTTTTTTTCTGGTATGACCATTGCCCATAATGACTTATTCTTTGAACAAAAAGGTATGTATTGTTTTGTCTACATATTTTGTGAATGTATTTTTCCGACTATTTCTTGGAGTCATGATGGCTTAGTCAATAATGCAGTTATAGCACTAAATGACAGCCACCGAGTTGGATCCCGATGTTAACCTAGATGGTTTCTCGAAATGTTCGACAGTTCATTGAAATGCTATTTGAATTCTATATTACGTTAAAGTTGAAAAAAGTTAGTTTCCGAAATTTAACTGCACTTTAACAGTGATGTATGCATATTCATATCAAAATATGTCTCTGGTACATGGGGGTTTAACTTTCATGCTTGTCCGATGAACAAATTAGTTACCTGAGTTGCCACCATTTTTCGTTATACTGAGAAGGTGGAGTCTCTCCGCTAAATACACTCCATCTCCACTGATCCATCAAATAACCAAAGGGTAAAAAGGCGATTTTATCTAAAGCCATACTTAACATAAAATTAATATCACTCTCTAAAGATAAAAAAACCGACATGATTTCAAGATAAACGTCACATTTATATTAATTCCGAAATTAATATCAATCTCTGAAGATAAAAAGAACATAATGATGTACAGATACACGACACGGTAAATTGAAATTAGTTCTAAATTGGTTTTAAATGTATGTATAATTGCTAGTTGCAATTAGTTCTGAAAATAACTCTATCTTACTCTGTTGGTTTGCAGTTAGTCTACAGGTGGTTTAATTTCCTGATATATATAATAAGTGCACGAGAATGTATTTGAATTTAGTAGCAATTAGTTCATACAGTCGTTTTTATTTCCCTAGAAAAAATTATAAATACAGAAGAAGTGTAGCTTTTACTAGATGGGGGTGGGGGATCATTAGAAACTTATATACTACTGGCCAAAATCCACTTTTCCATCAAGGCTTTTTGTATCAACACATACTTTTTCCATTACATCGAGAATGTTCGTTTTAGAATATGCAAATTAGAGTATCTTTATTCATAGTATATTTTTTACCTCATGTTACCATGTGGTGAACTCTAGGTAGTTGGAATTCAATATAAGGGTAGGCCGTAGCGCTACCCTCCGGCCAAAGTTTGATTCCTAGCATACTGTATAGCGTAAGCCCGTCTTCATTAGACCAGTCGGTGCAGAACAGTACAACGTTAAACCCCATTTCATTTTATTTTATCACGGGAATGAATTTGCAATGTTTATGATAAATAGGGGTGTTGGTTGATTCTAAAAGCTAACTGACATTAAAATGTATCTATGATAATAATTTATCTCTAATAATTCTGAAGAGTAGATCATCATGAATTTTAACATTTTCCAAAAGATAACTCCCACTTTATGTTAAATTATCTATCGGTAAATAATTTAGATATTCGTTTCTAGGCGTTTTTAAAATACTAATGGGGTTTAACTTCCAATTTTTTCTGCCCCATCTGGGCTAATGAAGACGTGCATAGGTCATGTGAGGTTTGCGCAGACTGTGGTGCCGTGGTCTACTCTTATTGCGAAAACCAACTAATGTGTACACGGACATAGGTTTTTCATTCCATCCGAACGAGTAGGGGGTGTTTTCTTGCCAGGAAAAACCATGCCGGAAAATCGCTTTAACCTTAGTTTATCAAAGTGTATGCTGACATTTAACTTTATTCACATATATAAAATATGTCTTACCTTTATCATCAACCACGTTTTTTAAAAGGTTTATTTTCTGTAAATGTTTGGGTGTAGACACGGATAAAGCAAGAACATCTCCCACAGCTTCGTGGAATCCTATATTAGCAAAAGGTTAATGGTACAATTAATCTCATTTCGAATGGCATAAAAGGGTAATATTCAAATTCCGTTATCATAAATTGGTGTTAACTAAGTGTGTGTGCGGTTGTTATGTGCGTACAATATGTTAGCATATCACGATAGTCTTATGAACTTGGTAAAGTAAATTGTCAAGAACTTTTACAAGCAGGTGTAAAGGTCCCCGAACAGATATGCAGTAAAATGGCATCAAGCTGAATACCGTTGTACCAAGAAACTAGTCAGAAATTGAATGATAAGCACATCGATAAAAAGAATATTTTTCAAATTATTAAGTATCCTTTCAATATACAAAATCTAGCGGCTAATCGGGTGTTGCATGACGTAGAGCCCTCAACCGGAAGTAGCATATTTGCGAAACCGGAAGTAGTAGTACTTAACGGTAATAAGGTCTATGCTATGTTGTGGTAATGATGCGGGGCATGGTATATTTACTCCCCGTGGAGACCTGGTATTACTTCTATTGTGTATCATTGCGTTCACTTACTATTAACACGATTATTTCGTTTTATGAACGCCTTGTCTCTCATAAGCGATCGGTATTTATTATTTACAATCTTTGTATTCATATCTCGTTAAGGACTCTGCAAATTTTAGATTTTAAAATCAATTATTGATCGTTACCAAAAGTTTTGTTTTAGGCTAGAATCCTGGTGCATATCCTAATATGTACATCGCATTTGCCGGTTTGTTCTCGTCCAAGCTAAATATTTTTGTTATAGAAGAAGTTATAATATATATGTCATGACAAGGTATAAACACACATATGATGGACTTTTATAAAAAAAAAATGGGGTAAAATATGTATGCACTAAACATAAATGAAACATTTGAACAATATATACATTTAAGTATATAAATACCTGGATTTGCACCATTTTGAAATACAATAGGTTTATCTTTATACATAAGATAATATTCTACATGTCCCATCTCATGATGAACTGTAATCAGATCAGACATTGTTACATCAGTGCATTGTTTTACTCTGAAATAATAAACAACATAGTTAAATAAGTGAGGTCGCGGTAAGTCTAGAAATCATCGCAAATTATTGTAATGCGATAAAACCAAATTAATTAACCGGTATTGTATCCGATTGAAAAGAAAAAAAATCAATATGACCTACATTTAGACGACGAGACAGCTATTTGGGTCATGAACTTCGATATTAAAAAAGGCTATAATATCCGATCACGTTCGAAGGACATTGTATCACTTGGAATGCTTGTAATTGTTTGAATATTTTACAATTGTGATACTACATGTTATAAATACGAGATCCAACCATAGTTATCACCAAATGTTAACATATGGGCGTCTGTGTGAATATTTTTATATCTGACTCCTTGAGTATATCTTTTTGCACTTAAGATCTTCAAAGAACAGAACACAAAAAAGTATTTGTGATTAAATTCTATCTATACTGAATGATGATCCCCACAAAACTGTAACCAGATAAACCACAAGGAAACACCCTGCACAAAACCAACCCAGTCCTCTGTGTACATCAATATAAGATTTAAACTTGATGATTGAAGCGTGCAGTATCAATCTAACAAAAAAAAACCAATGAATGCCTTATTGTTTTGCCATCTTATATATATTTTCGCTTTATAAAAAATGTTTATAAAATAGAACGGCATCACTTGTTCAATTCATTTGGAGGTTCAGACGTTAAATTAAATTATGAATGATAAATTTCAAAAATAATTTTTTTTTCTTTTTCGTAAGATTAAGGAACCTAAGGACTAGGGTCCCAAATAAACACGTAGACTAATTAAATGATATAACCTTTCATTCGCTTGTAAAATCTATTCATCTAATTATTAATATGATCTATATGAGGATTATTACAGTCTAGATCATTGAAGACAAAATATATAATAATGTTCTCCTATGTTCTCTGCAGTAATTGGGTATAATATTTTACTAAATTGTAATGAGTAAAGCTTTAAAGACATCACCAGGGCATCAAATTCTCGGAATTAAGTTTCTATATTTTTAAAATACCTGAAATCTTTCTTATTGTAGAAATTCCAGGCCGAGGCGTGACATTGAACTTGTCGTCCTTTTGGCTTTTCTATCATTGAGTGTTCCCAGAATTCTTTCGGCATTTTTAACATTCCCAATGATTGGAAGAATTCGTCTGATACTTGAAACATCTTCAGTGCCGTATAATTCTACAATAATAGTAAATACAAAAGCATGGATTACAAAAATATGAAATACAAAAATGCATGGTAATTAAATGTCTATAAAAACATAAAATACAAATATTAATTGAAAACTATCTGAACATTCAAAATTTAAATTAGCATCCGTTATTCCTTGAGATTTTCCAGTCTGGTTATTCTAGTCAGTGGTGAAGGACGGAGGACCTGACAGTGTAAAACGTCTAGTCCTTCGTTCGAACGGAACAGGGCGGGAAGGGACGAAACTCCGAGGTCTTGTGTATACCATTGGCAGCACGTTAAGGATCCCCTGGTGGTTAGAAATCGAATAAGAGTAGGTCGTAGAGTCGGTGTCATTAGGGACCTTTCGCTTCGGTACGAATACGAAAACGAAAACGTCATCGATTCGTGTGTACTTGTGACGTCAATTCGTAATGAGTATTCGGCCAGTGAAAAACGTTACGCGTATGGAGCTGGATTTACGTACGTACGCAAACGAATGTTTTTTTGTCTCATATATTGAATTTTCCACCGTTTTTCGAGGCTTTGTGTATATTGTTGATTGTGTAGAGTTTGTAGAATGTGCTCAAAAGCAATATATCGATTGTAAACTTTGCCTTGACCAGAAGTTCATGGAGTGGAAATTAACGCCATCTATAGCTAATATCGTACGTTGGATTGCGAAACCGCGTGTTCGAGGATACGAAAACAAAAACGTAAACGAACATATGTTCGTTTTGGTGTTCGTTTTCGTACCGATGCGAAAGGTCCCTAATATCCCGAGCAGTCCATATTATAATCGTATCAAAAAATGTGTTTTATTCAGTTCTTAACGATACACCATTCAAGAGCTACATTACCAATTAAGGACATTTGTCTGACTTCAAATATTATGTAGACATTTATTACACAACACCGAGATATTGAATTGATTAGAACCACCTACCCATAAAATAAATTAGCGTTAAAATGGATAATCTGGATTGTGTTTATTATGGTAGCAACTTGACTTGACAATCGAGGCGACCTTGTCAAAACCTCAACCCTCAACACATACATGTCACGTTTCAAAGTTGAAGGTTTTTTTAGGGGAGCTAAATCTCTTTCTCCATATTTTCCATAATATATTAAATTAAGAACTCGAAATAAAATTCAACATTTGTCCATTTCTCTAAATATTGGTGTTTTTATCTTGCCATAAAAATACCCAATATAAAAACAATGAACATTTTATAATCACTATACAAGTGTCGTGTATTCTATGGTTTTGGGTACAATAAGTAATTCTAATCACAAAATGTACCCAAAACAAAAAACATACCTTTCAAGATAGTGCCGAAGTAATTAGTAACGGCTGATTCATCAGCGACAAAGTAATAATGAGAACACGTAGAATGAGTTGGTAAATTAGAAATTACAAAAAAGCTTTTAAAAGTTGAATATAAATATCTTTATATATATTCATATTACATCAATGTGTGCTTTTAGACCCCATTTGTCTATTGTAACGTTCCAAAGAATAGAGTTATATTAGTCTTTCAAAAACGATTAGAAAACTTATTTCGGTGCAATATGTCCGTCGGCAATACTATATACCGGAAAACACCAGAAAACACCAGAAAACAACCGGAAAAAAAACGGAAAACGCCATTTTATACTGAATACCGGAAAACACCGGAAAAACACTAAATACCGGAAAACACACAAAATACCGGAAAATACCCTAAATAGGTAACCCGGAGATTGGCACCCTAAATAGGTAACCGGGAGCCTGGTCCTCTGTGTGGCTGGGTTAGGGTTAGGGTTAGGGTTATTTTCCGGTTTATAGTATAGCCCTTCTCCGGGCTACTTATTTAGGGTGGTTTCCGGTATTTAGTTTGTTTTCCGGTATTTAGTGTTTTTCCGGTATGAAGTATAACATGGTGTTTTCCGGTAGTTTTCCGGTGTTTTCCGGTATATAGTATAGCCCTATGTCCGTCGCAACACCTTGAAATTAATTACAGAAGCTCAGATATTATTTGTTGAACCGACTTACATTCTGTTTTAGTTTATAAGCAATAAATGTCAGGGGCATTTTAATGATCTTATAGCCTTAAAGGAGCCGATCCTCAATGGACTATTTGAGTGAAAGAAACCTTTATCCTTTTGCCATGCAACTATCTAAAGCCTAGCTCAAAACCCGCCGTACGTGTTTTGACACGCACGGGTCGCAGGGTTTGGTAGCTAGCAGACCAGACGCAAGAAACTGGGTGAAAATGTTGTATATGCAGGACCAAAAGTCTCTACGATCAGTCTGCGATCTCCACGGTACCCAACACACGCAAATGACGCAAGAAACCGGATGAAAATGTTGTATATATATATGCAGGACCAAAAGTCTGCGATCTTTCACGGTGCCCAACTGCCAGTAAACTGCTGGTTATATACCTTTCAACTGGGTCTAAACACACGTATGGCATTTTCAAGTTATCTTAATTTCGCTGACTGATATAAATATATACATGTGGAATTGATAGTCTTTAATTAGTGCGTACGTGTTTGGAACAAAGAGTATAGTTGAAAAGCCGAAATCATCTATTATCAAAACCAGTTATGGTCAATAAGTTCACTGCATCTAAATGTTCGTTTAATTTGATGAACGGTATAGAGCACTTTGTCACAGCAGTAGCATGTACTGCGGGTTGTGGGCTAGGCTTTACCAACAATTTTAACAATTTAATTGACCAACATAAGATTTAACCATAGATTGGTCAACTTTTCGGATTTTTTTTGTGTGCATTCAATGTCTGTAACTTTGTCTCAATGTCACCTGACCAACATTTGAAAGAGAGAAAGGGAAATGGGGAATAACGTCCACTCGAAACAAACTAGTTCATTTCAGGACTAACATGTGATTGCGCGTAGGGGTCTTTAGCAGTAGAATGAAACTGGAGGAGCCGGAGAAACCCCAACCGGGGAACCGAAACCACGCCAGTGAACTCAGTGACAGACTTTATGATACAACGCGCGCGCTAACCATTCGGCCATCCAACCAATGCCCCCCCCCCCCAACATTTAAAACCTAATATGTTCACCAAAGCTTGACAAGTACACACAGCGTAAAAAGTACGTCAACATGCCGGTAAACAGGTTGCCGAAAGAATGCGAATGCAGTTCTTGTTGCCGTGTTGATGAGAAGTTAACTAACTTTAAACAATCAGAAATCTGCTTGAAATCAGCTGCCATATCTTAATTTCTGTTGAACCAGGTATATTGACGAAATGTTGGTCAACATATTCAAGGGATATTTCGTTGCACGTCAAATTTGTATCCAGCTTAAAGAAAGGTAGGGATAGATCCGTCCCGTTAATAAGGCCAGGGATTCTTTACTTCCGTTCAGTTATAGATTTGTTATGCAATTATTGCGATCTGTTCCAGTCGCTCTGGTGGGTGGGGGCGACATGCTCACTGAAATTTATTTCTATATACAGTCATTCCTTAAACTATGTCATATCTCCTTTATTTTATAGAAGTTTGAGATGTTCTTAATTATTATATAAACATAAAATTTCACCATTACACCCTACTTCGAGCTATTGCCAAGTATGGGTCATCACAAACATCGATAGCGTGTTTTTTTAGCTTTCTTTCAAAAGAAAGTTAAATTCAGGCTTTGAATTATTTATGACCACGTTATTATACTCATAAATAAAACAGTCTCGTTTTATGATAAGAAACCATGTACCTTTAAAGCCTTCGATGTGAGTTTTATTAGGTGTTTTTGAAGTGCACCGTATTGAACTTGACCTGGCTACCCTCGGCTGTAGAACAGGGAATAGTTTAACATCAGGTAATGGTATACGCGTCATGATTAGGACCATATGTAAGTAAAAACACATGGAAAAACAAAGCAAATCTTCGATTGTTGACAATGAGGTGTTAATAGAATTCTTTTATTATCTTAGACAGATTTTTTATGTAATGAAACAAATAGTTTTTGTGTGTGATTTTTGACTTCTGGAATTCAAATAGAAAAACAAGAAAACGTAAAACTGTCTAATTACTCATCAGACTGAACCTAAGCCAGCCAAACTCGACTGACATCACTATACAAACCAATAATTATTAAAGATATTTTTCTTTGATAGTAAATATAAGGTCATTTTCCACCCAAGTCTTAATTTTATATACAGTTTATCTTATAAGATGTCTGACATTGAGTCAGGTGGCGCGGTTTCGATCCCCTTACTGGTACATGGCAAGAAGCAGGGTCGGCTGTCAAACTCAGTGGGTTTCTAGCCCCCCCCCCTCTCTCTCTCTCGCTCGCTCTCTCTCTCTCTCATGTTGGTTGTGGAGGATATTCAACGGACAGAACGGATTACCAGGAGTATATGACGTCATTTCCACAAATTGTTAGAATGGGTTTTATCATCTGTTAATTAAGTTTTTATTATACTCTACCTGTTCTTTCATGGCAGGCGTGACATCCACACTTTCCTTATCATAAGGTTGTAAAAGATCTAATAAATTACTCCATTGTTGTGACCACATGTTTCCTGTAAATAAACTCAACATAGGTAAACATGTATTTATGGAAATATATATGTTTATAACACGTGATTGTACTTACAACATGTATATTTACACTGACCCTGGCGATTTATCATTTGTTAGGAATTAGGTTCTAAGCAATAGGACTACAATCTCAACGGGTATCGAATTCCAATATTTAAAATTCTGACTTTAATTCAAAACAGACTAAATTGGCCATATTTACGTTCTAAAAACATAAAATGTCTACGATTTTAATTAAAATCCTGATCAATCAAGCTTGTATTTACTTTGGTAATGACAAAAAGAACACCATGTTTGACATTTTTGTCATTTCTTTTAATTTGTTTTGACAACGTCTCAAAATCGAAGCGGAATTTGTTATCTTTGTCTTATAATTACAAAGCTTAAAAGCAGAAACCAGAATCGATATCAAAAAGCCACCTAACTAAATGTAGAACAAATCTATTATACTATATGTGTATCTCTACCTATAGATAAATACTCTCAGATTCTAATTCAATTTTTAAATTTAATTCTGTATGATGAATAAGTCAAAAGATAAACTAATCGACTAAACTGAACAAGCATTTTTGTTTATTGCAAGCTATGGAAACTTCATGTTATTCATCGAAACACGTTTTGTTATGATATAAAGATATTAGGAATACTTCTATAACAATTAAGATATTTCAAAGATACTACAATTTCAGCTGATCATTTGAAATGTTAAAACTCAGCATAATATATACCTTTGGATTATAAAAGCACAATGAAAACAATTTTATTTACATACAGATTGTAATAAAAATGCGATCTAATGTCATCAAATTGATCGACATTCTTGATTATGGGGTCATGAACAGAACCTACTGGCCAATGGAATCATGTTGAGGAATTCTTATTTTTTGAGCTTGATATGATAATTGCATGATGGTATCTGCTGTTGATAGTGTGCATAAATACTATTTTTAAAATATAAACATTTAACGATTATTCTGTCACACTATTTAAATTTATCTGTTTTAAAAAATATGGGCGTTTACATAATATAGTTCAGATAATATAAAAATGACAAAACAATGATAAATATAGAAATTTACATTGATACTTGATAACTTTACTCACCAAATAAATGGGCTGGTATGTGACCCGAGGTAGGAAATTTATCCTTTCCGTAAACCGACATTAATTTTCGTCTCACAAAGGCGTGTAATTGTTTATATAAAGGGCCCAGTTGAATAAATAGATCTTCTATATCTTGTTCAAAAGTTTCACTTTCGTATTTAGATTTCCAAGCCGCTGCCGTATCGCTATAACCTGATAAAAAGAACAACTATTGTTAAAGGAGCTAACTCACTATTCTTTGGCACCTAGAAATGGACACGCATATAATAATGTAATATAAATGTATATAAATTGATTTACATTCATTCGTTTCCGTTTTTACTGTAATTTCTAATCAGTTATGTTCGGCGAAATACGCGAATTGAATGACAATTTGGTTATTCCAGTCAACACCGATAGTATTCTCCTACATAGGATATGTTTAGACTCGTTTATCGAGCCGCTTCATACAAATGTCACTAGAAAGCATTCTGGCACGCGAATCGTGTGCCAATTTTGAAATTTTCATTTTGTCTTAAATATTGGATATCAGCAGTCCTACTTTTCACGGTAAGATAACAACATCAATGTGGATTTGAAATGACCAATAAGTCGTGTTTGCAATGTCGAAGACTGTGGAGGATATTGAGTTAAAGACATGGCTTCTTTAAGGCCAGGGTATAATAGAGATTACCAGAAAAAGGTCGACAGTATAATTATCCGCATCTTTTGAAAACCGTTTCTATTCTTGAACATGCTGACTGTAATAAAAGACCCGCATTGTGTGCTGTGACTATGTGTGACTTATCGCAAGTATGCATATGTACTGCATCAAGCCAAAGCTGCATCCTTTAAACAAATTAGTTCACGTTTTCGTAAAAAACATTCCCTGATCTTTAAACTATTATGCTACTTTCGATATATGGAATGAATTGTATTTTGTTTTCGTCTTGACAATAACATATCCACGGGACTATTTCAATGAGCAGATGTCTTTCACATAAATGAATCAAAATTTTTCATGTGGTCCGCTATGAAAAAGGTTACCTTGGCTTTATGCGATGCTAATATCCAATTATTACAGGGCAGATGCATTTACAATTTTAACCATTAAACAAGTGTACATTTTATCAGATATATTGAGATTTTCAAACAGTTTTCAACCGCCAACTCAACTGAGGATGGGCCTTAACTTTATGGTAAAGTTTTATTGCAATTTTATACTGTTATGATAATAAATTCTATTATGTAGCTAACCTTACCGCCGTCTCTGTGGGCCTCATTTATTAATTCAACAAATTCAGAATAAAGATTTTTAATTTTTTTCCCAGTAACATCTCTCCATGTTACCCACACTTCTTGTAACAAATCATAATCACGTGATGTAGATAATAACCTCGTAAGTCCTATAATACAATAAAATAATGTTAGATAGAGAAAGTAATGGCAAATATATTAAACTAGGACAAATCCAAGGTAAAGAAAACAAAAGTAAAATGCGTTAGCCTCAGAAAATCATTAGAAAATTAGTAGCTAGATAAAGTAAAGGTAAAATTTATTAACCTCAGATCAATCTTAGGTAGAGAAAGTAAAGGTGAGATACATTAACCCCAGACAAAACTTAGCCAGAGAAATACTTTAACTTAAGACAAAGCAATATTTAGCTATAGCATGATAGTGACTAAATATTTCCATTTCCAAAAGATTTGCGTTTATGCAAAGAGGCCAATCTGATTAAATTCCAGATCTATATTTCGTTTCGTTTTTTTATACATGCGATCTGACCAGTTGTAGTGCGTGTGTGTGTGTGTGGGGGGGGGGGGCAGGGTTCATACGGACGGCATTTCACCCTATGACGTCAGTCATTTGATTAACCAATCAGCGTTGATGCTTCTAATAGACACTCGCTGCAACAGACCGTTTCGTTGGCTAATCCATCACATCAACCAGAACGCGGGTTATATAACAACTCTTCTATTGTAGTAAAGACAAGTAAAACGAAATTTTGAACTATAAAAAACGAAACGTAATAGGATCTGTGTTTTAATCGGATTGCAAAGAGACAAACTGGTTACAATAAATATATTACCTGGTTCTAAGGCATGACAATCACCGGTTGATAAACACACTTTACCACCGCTGTATATCTCTTCCATTTCAGACATTACATGATTTAACTACAATATAATATAATAAACTATACAGCCTTTCCATTTCAGACACTACATGATTTATCTACAACATATTATAATAAACTATACATCCTTTCCATTTCAGACATTACATGATTTAACTACAATATATTATAATAAACTATACATCCTTTCCATTTCCGACAAAACAGGATTTAATTACAATATAATAAACTATACATCCTTTCCATTTCAGACATTACAGGATTTAAATACAACATAATTTCGGCAATACTATATACCGGAAAACACAGGAAAACACCGGAAAACAACCGGAAAACACCGGAAAACAACGGGAAAACAACCGGAAAACACCATTTTACACTGAATACCGGAAAACACCGGATAACACTAAATACCGGAAAATACCCTAAATAGGTAACCCGGAAACTGGCACCCTAAATAGGTAAACGGGAACCTGGTCCTCTGTGTGCCTGGGTTAGGGTTAGTTTCCGGTTTATAGTATAGCCCTTCTCCGGGTTACCTATTTAGGGTGGTTTCCGGTATTTAGTGTGTTTTCCGGTATTTAGTGTTTTTCCGGTATTCAGTATAACATGGTCTTTTCCGGTAGTTTTCCGGTTGTTTTCCGGTGTTTTTCGGTGTTTTCCGGTATATAGTATAGCCCCATAATTTAACTCCATAATTCGCCCATTTAAGATATAACATGATTGTTAAATCAAAATCAATACATTATTTAGATATTTCAGACATTACATGATTTAAATTCAATATAATTTAACTCCATAATTCGATTATATCAGATGTAACATGATTGTTAAATCAACATCAAGGCAGGGTATTAGGGTCTGGCAAGGGACGGGGTCTAGTCGTTTGACTAGAAACGAAACTCCGAGGTACCTATAAACGACGGAGTACATGTTAAATAATCTTTGGCAGTTGGAATTCGAGGAATATTGGGAATTAAAGGCAACCCAGGCAATATTTCCCTCATAGTAAACAGCATGGCGTATGTGTGTCTTCATTAATTCAGTTGGTGCCGAGAAGGAGGACGTTAAACTCCATTCATTTCATTTGGTTAGAGTATAATACATGTAGACGTAAAATGATTCAACTAAAATAGAATATATGAATATATATGTTATAATCCCTTCAGACGACACGATTTAACCAGAATGCCGTATTATATATATTTCTTCAATTCAATTCATAATTATAATACAATATAAAATAAAATAAAACATCTTCTGTGCCGTTGTATATGTCCATACGTATTTTAAGCAAGCTTGTACATATCTAGAGTTATATAATACAACTTCAAATTAAAAAAAAGAATTCATCACAAACTAGGATTTACCTTACTTAAAACCAATGTATACATACGTAATCTTTAATTTTCCGGTGTGGCTCCCCCTTGCCAGCGGTGCAGGACGAAAACCATGACAAGGACAACTATCTAGTCGTTCGGATTGGACGAAAAACTGAGGTCCCGTGTACACATTGGCGTGCATCTAAAAGATCCCTTGGCAGTTGAAATTCGATACAAAAGTTGGCCGTAGCGCCGCTGTCCGGGCAACATTTACCTCATAGAGGCGTTTCCGTCTACTCTTCATAGCATTCCAACTGTCAAGGGTCTTTTACGCACAGTCCACTACAATAGCCCCTGACAAGTGGGAACCGGGCTTAAAATGTTAAAAATAACTAAAACAAAACAATTATTATAATTAGGTCTAGATTTCCGTTACTTCTTAAATTGGCATGTTACAAATTTATATAATCGGAGAGTTCATCAAGAAGTATTGAGGTTAAAATTAGGTTAATTAATTAAGAATTTGTGTCAATCTTTTATTAATCACTATAATTTACATTAGTTGCTGTATTATCACCGTTGAACTAAAATAGAAATGCAATGAAATGGAGTTCAACCTCCTACTGTTCTGCTACAACGGGGCTAATGAAGACGGTCATACACCATACAGTGTGCTATGAGGGAAATTTTGCCCGGACAGCGGCGCTACGGCCTACTCTTATATCAAATTCCAACTGTCAAAGGTTCTTTTATGTGTACGCTAATGTGTACACGGGAACTTAATTTTTTTGTCCCATCCAAACGACTATACGTTGTTCATTGCAAGGCCCTCTGTCCTGTACACTGACAAGTGCTGAGAACCACGCGGGAAAATCCAGATGAGCTTTCTCGGCCAATGTCAGGATAAAACACGGTACCTCCAGGTTAGCGAAACGACGTCTTACTCACTGAGTCGTATTGAGAAACCATAGATGCTTACCCTCTGTAATTTTGATTCATCTTTCATTGCTGCTATTCCGATATGAGATATCTTCCTGAACTGTCGAACTATATATGGATCTTTCAACTTTTCCCAATCAAACCTAGTATTCGCCCTTTTGGCCCACTCTTTCTCAATTTGAGCAACCTCTACACTTTTATTGACCTGAAAATATAGACAACAATTTTCAAAATTCATGCTTCATGCTTTCAGGGGCGTATGGTTCTATTCTTTGGAACCTTACAATAAACGGAAATGTTCTATGAACAGTCAAAATCGAACGGCAGTCTTGAGTTCATTTTACTTTTTTTTAATCATCATTTTGTCGTTTGTGCATCACCATTACTAATTACTTCTACATCGTCTTGTACGATATGTTTTTCTCTATTCATTACAAATGGCGCTCGAAACCATAGAGCAATCGAACCCTGTACTGATTTTAAAATATTCTATACACTTTCACGGCAAGATATACAACATCAATATTTATTAAAATGAACCAATATTGAATTCTAATCCGTGTTTTTAATTTCGAATACTATGAAAAATATATTGAATTAGAGGTTTAACCCCTTTAACACATATTGTATTGCACCTACTTTAAGGCTATAGTAGAATAGATTTTGTTTGTAAAGGATACTATAATTCCCGTCTTTTCATTTATATTTAATAAAACGTTCAAATTATTAACCAGAAGCAGAACAGTGGGACGTTAAACCCCATTTCATTTCATTTCATTTCATATAACAAAATAACACTGTAACCCGGGTATCGTTTAATCTTGCGCATTTGTCCCTATTTTTTTCACATTTATTCCATACCAAATCTTTAAAATCGTCTAAAATCAACCCAAATCATATAATTTGTACTTTTGTTCAGTTTAAAGCTGACCGTTTAATTTTGATAATAAGTGTTCAATTTATAAGCATTTGATTTTCAGATCGCTGTTCAAAAAACCCCATCCCAATTAAAATGTAAGGAATTGCTGATAAATACACTATTTGTAAGCAAATGAAGGGGGTCTTATCTACATAAAGCTTCGGTCACTTTGAGACTAATATTATGTAACGGGACGAAGTTTATCTGGACATTTAAAATCCAACTGCCAAGGTATCTTTTAGGTGCACTACCAGTTTGTACACGGGTCAAAACGACTAGACACAATTTCCTTTTATAATATCTGCACCACAAGCATCGTCTATTGAACAGTCCCTAATCACTCGACCACTGCGATCGCCATTTAAGTATGTATAAACTAGTTTTGTCATTATTGTTGTACATGTCATTGTTTCTGGCGTTTAAATCCAGTAGTTGGGCAGTTTTTAATTTACTTTATCTCTCTTTTTTGTCCAGTTAAAATGTTCAATAATTAAGGGTGCTTGTGGAAATGCTTGTGACGAGCTAGATCTTTAATAAAGATATGTATCACCCAATAATACATCGCATAACTGATATCTCAGCGTTATCTACTGCAATACCTTCTAATACTTTGAAGATAACTGCCTTTCCGTTCGTACGTGGGGCTTAATGTCCGCTTTCACCGAGACTGATATCGCACATAAATTAACTACTTGTTTTGATATAAATTTATATGAAATTTTTTTTAATAATTATGAGATTCCCTAAGAATTTAACCCCATACAGATTCCAAATAGCGGCTTGATCTTAGGTCTTGGTGTTCTGACTTTATTGTTAGGCGAGCAAGCGTCTGAACAGCTGGGGTTTTAAAGTATAGGTAATGAGAAATGAATCTGAAAAACTGAAAGTATTTGTATTTGTGGGAATCAGTTTGGTAAGAAGTAGTTTTGTGTCAAGTGTAATTATCTTAGTGTAAAAAATAACTCAAGTTGTAAGTAAGTACTAAAGGAAGTAACTACTAAAGTTAAATGGCTGTAATTAGTATTAAAATCATGCTACTTAGACTTACCGCAAGAATAAACGCAATTAAATAGTGATGATAGATGATGAGGAAACTAATCTTAACCTATAAAGTGTACAATATCTAAATAGGAACTTACGTTGGTATTTTCGAAAAAAAAACCAGGAGAATGAAAGTCCTAACAGTTTTCATAGTAACTACACGTTCAGCTAGTTTAGAGAGGTCGAAAATAGCCCCCGCCCCCCCCCCCCGCCCCCTCCACCTAGTAGTCTTAGTTCTTTTATTGCCAGCTGTCTGCAAGCCATTTGTATACAGACAAAATCATTTATTTTATGATCAGTAGTGGAATACCGCGTTTTATCAGTGAAATAAAAGTGTTATTCCACTGGCTAGCAGTAGTCCATGTTGTTTTTACCTAAAATGATTGTAAAATCATAAAATAAATAGAACATATTTTATTTCATCTCTAAGCAAGAAAACGTTTATATTTTCACTCATGCTACGCATTCGTGAAAATATAAGTTTTCTTGCTTCTCGATGAAATAAAATATGTTATTCACTCTAAAACGACAAATATCCTCCATATATTCTTGAGTTAAGTGAACTAATTATATGATAAATTTCAAACAAGATGTTAAATAGGGAAAAAGTATACTGTTCGTCGTACACGACATTCCCCCCCCCACCCACCACACACACACACACACACACACCACACACACACCACACACACACCATTGTATCTATTTTACATGAGGTGTACCTTATTTTCACCTTTTAAACACATTTTGTGTGGTATGTTAATGTTAACATTTCCTAGCAAGAGAAACTACTTATAGTTTTAGCTGTATAAATATAACGAAGAATGCTAAAGCCCTTTAAAAATAATGTTTCAAAATATTTAAATGAAAAACAAAATCAAGCGTTAAAGTGGTTTAATTTCAGGCAATTTCGTCTTAAGATAAATATTCTCTTTCATATTTTGACTTTAATTCATTTTATTTTAATGGCATTAAAAGAGATTTTCACACATTCTTTATAAAGTTTGCCCAGTTACAACATGAAAAAATCAACGACGGGTTTACAAGTTCATTAAAATTAAAGTGTTCTTTTGAACCTGGGGATGGGTGGGGGGATGAGGTAAGTTTTAGATCATAGGATCTGTCATTGAGCGGTTTTGACCAGAAGACTGTATGTTACAATGAGTAGGTTAGCTTGTCCAGCATCTAGTTTTCTTTCATTAGTTTTCTTTCATAGTTTTCGTTAAACCCCTTTTACTTTCATTATTTACTAGCTGAAAAATGCTGTTCCAAAGTTACTAACGAAACGAACTGTTTGGTTAGCGTGTTCTTGGATTCGATAATGGCCAAACTAATGGTAAGACGCCCTCGTTGCTTTATAATCAAATTTGTATAGCGTATGTTAGTTAGTACTAAATATTATATAAATTAATTACTCCGTATTTATTCTTGCGCCTTCCAAGAAAAAAGATTTGCAATAACTCATATGTCTTGTATTTAAGAGAAACATTGGTAATGAATTTCACCTGGGATGAAAGTGAACCTATGGTTTATTGTAATAATTAACTCTACCTGGTTATAAAAGAGCTAATTATTAGTGTTTTGATGGGGCGTGACAGATGCATTAAATTAAAACTTCAAATTTATATGATTTTATAACGCTTGTTTTTAAAACAGTATTCCTTGTCAAGTGAGTACCATGCTAAAGAACGGCTAATGGATTGCACTTACTTCTCTTTTTTTATTTCTTAACAGTGTACTTGCTGTGAGTACGAGAAATGTTTGATAGCAAATAAATTGACAGGAGATATCTTTGTGGTGGTCTATAAGAGTGTTCATATGCTGTCTCTATAGGTGGGGGGTGGTGGATGGCTGAATGGTTAGCACGTGCGCGCTGTATCATAAAGTCTGTCATTGAGTCAACTGGCGGGGTTTCGATTCACCGGTTGTACGTGACATGGTAGGGTCGCCTGTCCAACCTCGTGGGTTTTCTCCGGGTCCTCCGGTTTCCTCCCATTGCTAAAGACCCCTACGCGCAAGCGAATTATGGAAATAAAATTGAACCATATGTTAGCCCCGAAATGACCTAGTTTGTGTCGAGTGCACGTTAAACCCCATCTCTCTCTCTCTACTCTCTCTCTCTCTCTCTCTCTTTCTCTCTCTCTTCAGTGGCGAAATTGTCCTCATTTTATAGTATCATAATGACCAATTAACATGAATGCTATTAAAGTCTCATTAATCTTTATTGGCAACAGAAATTTCCATTACTAGGATTTGTGTCAAATGTCCTGATTTTGATAACCATCGGATGAGGGTTAGTGTAGAGGGATAGGATCACGAAGGACCCGGGGGTGGGGGTATTTTTAGTGTACATCATACACCTATCTGTAGGCCATGATGTCACATTATATACGCGCGCATGGGAAGGGGGGAGGGGGGGTCAGTATCTAAGACACATTTGAAAATCCGTGTAAAAGCTACTATTTTAAACATAGATTGCGTCTGGTAAAATACGCCCAATAAACAAGTAATGAATGGCTTTCAAGGTATATAATTTAGAAATGTTATTTGCCATGCTAAAGAATCTAGTAAAACATCATAAATATTTTTTGGGAATTGCGACACTTGGGGGTTCCTTAATCTTGAAACTCAATAATGGACGCTATCGCAAATATGTGTCTTCTTTTAGTTTTAGCAATCTAAATATGTTAAATATATTTCCAGTAGATCCTTTCATGCAAATATGTGTCTTCCTTTAGTTTTAGCAATCTAAATATGTTACATATTTCCAAAAGATCCTTTCATGACAATCTATATTGCGGAGGGTTTTTAACATTTATGGACGAGAACTCTGAAATGTAGAAACGGGGAAACGTCTCTCATTTTTTTTTATGAAAAGGACGACACTTGTATTAAACCATTATTTTAAGATATTGTAGCTTATTAAATTTTTCCAAAAGATCTTTTCGTGACAATTTTAATACTTTTAGACGAGAACTTGGAAATGTAGAAATGGGAAACCAATTTTCAGTTTCATTCTGAAAAGGAAGACACTTGAATTGGTCAATTATTGTAAGATGTTGTAGAATTGTTTTTATTTTAAGTTAAAAGAAAATTAAAAATATGATATTTCTTATAAGTAAAATTATAGAGTGAAACTGATTACTAAGTTTGCACTAAATAAAATAAGAACGAAATTATGTCCGGCTCACCGCAAGTTTTACAGTCAAGGGTGTGTGTTCATCAAAAGTCACAGTAAGCTGTTAGCACGAATTATAAATGGTTTGTCTGGTATATAGCCACCCCTTTCACCCGTTGCTTTAATAACACGGAGACATTTTTAGATTTAAAATAGAATAAGATTGCTCGATCGTGAATACAAGGTTAATTAAATCGTATGAAACTATAAATATTCGTATGCATATGCATGAATTAATATGACATTGTTGTTAGTGTATTCTGGTGATGCGGCCAGGTTAAGTGAGCCAATAATGCTCATTGTAAATGTCAATTCTCGAATTCAGTGAGATTGTCCCTTCATGCTGGTTCTTTTTTATTTTGTTTTATTCTTTAGAAATTAAATTCGTGTGGTGAAAGAATAACCCCCCACTCGAGGCCATTATCCAATATCCATGTATATTTAAGTAAAACGCAGCCTTAAATAAATAAATGGCCATTAAATGAAAATAAAGGCATATGTATGACAACGTTAATTCCAACCAGTACGCGGTTTACATGTAAACACTGGTACAGTTTTTTTGTTGCTACATTGTTATGCATTAATTTTGTCTCGATCTTTACGCCCCTCCATATGAATACTTTTCACCGAAATCCAACGGCCAAGAGTTCTTTTACGGGTTTTGTCCAATCCTAAACGACATTCCTAATCGTGCCCACTGTCCTGCACCACAGACAAGGTGGGGTCAGTAAACCAGCGCGTTACTCACGGAGCCACCGTGGTTCCAGAGTTTACCAAACGCTGTCACAATTCGTGTTTGTAATCAGAATAGGCGAATCTAGAATGACTGATTTTCTGGGAGAGAACGATACCTTTTCTGTGATACATTTGACGTTTCCCCGTCAATGATCTAAAGACTGTTGGCTTGAATAACAATATTTAATATAAATTTTCTACGGTGGCTGATTTAGGACATGCAAAAAAAAGTAATATCTCGAGCGCTCGAAATACGAAGTCAAGCGCTCGAGATAATTAAGTCGAGCGCTCGAGATAATTAAGTCGGGCGCTCGAGATAATTAAAGATACATTATGGGAGATTAGATAAACCGCTGACAGTTCTCACTATAATAGTTAAAAAACTAAATAAGGGAATTTGTTGAAATTTTCAGTCAAATTTATCCACTCTGAACCGAGATTTTAGTGACTGAATTATTGACCTAGCCTCGATCATCATTACTAAAGTCGGTACGATAAAAAACATAGCCTCTATTATCCATTTCACAATTAAATCATGAATGAAAGATGAGCAGCAAATCGGACCCTAATCCAATAAATATCACAGGGTAGCGTTGACATCGAGAGTTGATTATGGACTGGATAAGTTAATTATTGTCTAATTAATAATTTAGATAACATTTTAGGCTTAAAGCAAGACCTGCAATAGGCAGATTTAGCTCTTGAATAATGTATCTTTAAGTCAAGCGCTCGAGATAATACAATCGAACACGTCTCAACCAATGTTTCAAGCTGTATAATTTTGTGCATTATTTAATGTTCAACTTGTAGAATAAAGATATTCATTTGTTCGTTTTTACAGCCCACCCAAAGCTGCAGTGACGGAAAATCCAGCCAAAATTTTAATCTTAAATCTGACAGGCAATTGAGACGCATATACGTCGGAATAATCTGTACAGGAATAAATATCTTTCTGATGTAATAGATGTTGCTGACTTTATTAATAGCAACTTGGGCGGCTCTTGTAACCGACTTGGTTATCGAATGATGCACCTTAAATGTATTTTGGCTGGATTTTCCATTAGCAGAGAGGATGTCAGAATACTAATAATCATTTTGTATCAACAGGGTGTAAAGATATCTGCCAAAGATATTTTGCTTGAGGTCCTAATTTCATATGGCACTTTGATTCCTGCGACAAGTCACATAAGTCACTTGAAACGCGACAACCCCTCTCACATCCCAGATTACTCACTCCTTAACATGGACGGGGGTAGATATAATGGGAAATATTTAGTGGTGGTGTTGAGCATGGAATGGAGCGTTGGGTGTGGTGGATGGGTATCCGCTCCGTCAATGCAGCTTTGGATGGGCTGTAAAAACTCGGTTGAGACGTGTTCGATTGTATGATCTCGAGCGCTCGACTTAATTATCTCGAGCGCTCGACTTAATTATCTTAGTATCGACTTAGTATCTCAAGCTATAGCTTGAAACGCGACAACCCCTCCCACATCCCAGATTACTGGTGGTGTTTAGTGGTGGTGTTGAGCATGGGATGGAGCGTAGGCTGGGGGCGCTTGACTTAATTATCTCGAGCGCTGGACTTAATTATCTTATGTCGACTTAATATCTCAAGCCGCTCGACTTAGTATCGCGAGCGCTAGCGATTTTTTTTTTTGTTTTTTTTGTTGCATGTCCTATATCAACCACCGTAATATTCGTTCTTAAAATGAACGCTTGCCGATATATATCACTCTAACTTATCGAAATAAGATATTTGTTATCATTAACCGAATAACTTTATTTCTAAAAAAAAAAGCTGCCATACTTCATTACCTGTCATATTTTATGCTAAATGACTTAAACCTGGCAGAACCAGATTGTAATATGATTAAAATACTTTAATGAAACTAGTTTGCATGATGGATAGGTAAAGTATATTAAATACGTGGGCACTTTTTGTCAAAAGTTTCTAGAAGTAAGAGAATTTGCGTAATAATAATCGAACATCTGTTATATAGCAAATGTACAGCAAACGTTTGGTTACCTAATGCGATCTCTGCAAATTCGAAATTGTATAAGGTAAAGTAAATTAATAATTCAGTAGCACCAAGCCAACTTCTATCGGTGTCTTAGGGCAGGGTTTATATTATAGATTTTTAAACGGCTGTCTGTAAAAATAGTAAAAACGATTGGTTTGACATCGTATTCAACTATCGACATTTCCAGGTTTTAGGCAATTGCGATAAGAACAAGTTTTCAATATTGTGAATTATTTGACTTTACCTATATATGATTTGACTTGAAATTTATGGTGTTAGCTTTAGTCTTGAGACTCCGAAGTTGATGCAATGTAAAATACATAATAAAATTTATTTTATGTATAAACATCACAAATCCCCCAGTATAGCATCAACATCAGCAATCCTGCTTAAAGAAATTTGGCCCAAAAGAAAAACGACCGTAAAAATAAATGAAAATTGGAATCAGATAGTAAAGTAAATATAATATATTAGCTCAACCGTCAGTGTTAACTCAAACGTTATTTTATTTTTATATCATTAAATACAATTCTAATCATTATCAACATTTCCAAACAAAACCGTTTAAACTTATCTTTTAATAGTTGATTCTAATAAAAATAAAATATAATCTTCTAAATGTACTTGCCATTATCTGTCTATTGTGTTCTGTAATATTTGTATTAAAGTTCCACATTGTTTCCACATATTCGCTAAAAAAGCGAGTCGCTTGATTATTATAATCATCTAAAAAATTCTGAGCTTTCGCAGGATCCGTTGATTTCTTGCTCAAAACATTGACCAGTAGCATACAAAACACCACACCGTGATACATTCTGACAACAAGTGAAAAACATTGAGGTATGGGTCAATCCGGTCGTCAATCTGGTTTCAATAAAAGCTGGTCCACATACACTTCATACACGCCGCCCAATTCTCGGCTATTTATTTCAAACTGGCATAGCCTCCACTGGTCACCAACCTGTCTCAAATATTTACAATCCTTCCAGCAAACTCTTCAGATTACACAACACTCCAGTTATTAAGAGGCTAACTCGCAATACATACACGAGAACTTAAGTAATACTAACAAAATCCACAAGTGTGCGTATGTTTATAAATGCCCAACATTATTATGGTTCATAAAATTACATAATAAACTACACACGTTGTTTATTATATTTATCACTTTATTTTGCAAATTAAAACAATTAAGTCTGTGATGTTTTACCTTCACCTGATGAGCTTTAGGCATTATCATTGTTGTTTATAAATATCCAGCATTATTATGGTTCATAAAATTACACAATAAATTACACACGTTGTTTATTATGTTTATCACTTTATTATAGCTAATTAAAACAATAAACTTGGTGTTGTTTCTGATGACCCTTTAAAAATTGCTTTACAATAGAGTCACGCCCTACAAAATCTCAGTTTTAAAGAGTGGTTTAATATACTTGTATTTATTTTGATTGTCATTCATTATACATTTATATCATGTACACGTCTTTTTCATCTTACCAGTGGAAGCCAACACTTCAAGAGCTTAACATTTTGTAATACTAATACTTAAGACCTACGTTATAGGAATCGCTGGCTATCATATTACACATAATATTATCATGATAAGGATTATATACATTACAATCAATTGAATGAGTGTATACTTTTTCAAGAAAATAACAGTAACTATATGACATTTACCATAACCTGCAAACGATCTTATATTGCATCGTAAACAAATATTTTGTTCGTTTATCCTTAAAACTTGAATTGATAATCGACTGAACAATTTTTAGCGTCCTACTTTTCTGCACTGGCCGGTTTAATGAAGACAGACATACATACGCCATATGCAGTGTGCTATGAGATAAATTTTTGTCTGGACAGCAATTGAATTCCAATAAAGACGAGGATACTTTTTTACGAATTAAAACTGTCAAGGGCTCTTTTATATGCACGCCGATGTGTACACTGAACCTCAGTTTTTCGTACCATCCGAGTGACTAGTAGTAAACACCGTTCTTTACCAGACCCTCCTTTTTCATTTAAACTTCTATAATAAGTGGCCTGGAGATTGTAATCACACCGACTTACAGTGAAATTACTTGGTTGAATGAAATCGTGGGCTGTTGGCCAGCAACAGTATGTTTGGTTAGGTTTTATTTCTAGTTTTCCCTTTAAATGTATATTTAAATGAATGGTGGCTGACATTTTGATACCATTACCTTTTGGTAGATTAAAACATAATCAAAAGACTAAATTTCGAATTTCAACAAATTTCACATTTCCTCTGCAATTTAATAAGTAAACCACATCCGATTTATTGTTTATTGTAATGTAATATAATGTTACATAATGATTAATTTATATAGCACTCAAATGTAATGTACTGCGATATGATGTAATGCTCATTAGGAAAGGAAATATATGATATCTTGTTTGTACTCATTAGATTCACATCGGGGGGTTGGTATTTTCTCGATATTGATAATGAAGTCTACTACGTAAGACAGTACTGATCAATTTTTAAAGGCCGTATTTCTTTCATTGGTCGTGCTACGGGGACTCAGTGAGGAAGGAGCTTGGTCGCTAATCTGGAGGTCACGGATTCGATCCTGGTGTTTGGCCGACAAGGTTCCTCACGATTATCCGAGGTGGTTTCCCCTTGTCAGTGGTGCAGAACGAAGGGCATGACCAGGAACAGCGTCTAATCGTTCGAACCAGTCACCACCTGACAAGCTTCTCTTTAATCTGCACTAGATCTAGATACGACATACTGAACTGTTAGAACAATGACCCTGGATCTAGATTCTTATGAAACGGAATGTCCGCCGTAATATTAACTCTTAACTTAATAATGCATAATATACTAATATACTTTCTGCAATGCATATAACTTGCTACTTACATAATATAAATTCCTACTTACATATAGACAAATTCGTGTTACTTATTTCCTGAATATTGCAGTTAGAAGTGGTATTTTGTTCCATTTCCACTATTACTTGAAATTTATTACAAAACATGTTCGACATTAAAGCAGATTGTAGCCAATTTAGTTTCGTAAACATTTTGATTTTTCGTGATATAATTCTTACCTTCGTTATGGGAGCCACGGTGGCTAGGTGGTTAAGACGCTGGCTCGCTAGCCTGGAGGTCGGGTGTTCGATCCCTGCATTGGCCGAGAAAGTTCATCTGGATTTTCCGACGTGGTTTCCCCTTGTCAGTGGTGCAGAACGGAGGGCCTGACAAGGACAGCTGTCTAGTCTTTCGGATGAGACGAAAAACCGAGGTTCCGTGTATACATTGGAATACGCGTAAAAGATCGCTTGGCAGTTGGAATTCGATATAAGAGTAGGCGATAGTGCCGCTGTCCGGGCAAAATTTCCCTCATAGCACACCGTATGGCGTATGCCCGTCTTCATTAGCCCAGTATAAGAGCAGAACAGTAGGGCGTTAAACCCCATTTCATTTCATTTCATTTACCTTCGTTATGGCAACATGCTACGCTTTTTTAAAAATAATATGTTGACGAAGAGTAGCCATATAAAAATCGCGCCATTTCATAAGCGACAACACGACATTACGACATTATTAGAGCGATGATACGACGAAGTAGGAAGCATAAGATGCCATTAAATTCATACCATCATGCTTGAAGCTGAATAAATATAAAGAGGTTTAGGAACAATATTGTTTTATTTAGCTTATTTTATTCTCTTACGTACTATAGTATATTTTTCTTGATACAACAGTATAAAAATATTAATTAGCTTGAATGAGAAGTAGTATCCACATAAGTATACCCTAATCCGTGCCCTCGCGCTCAGCACACATCATGCGGTATGCGGTAGAGAATATAATTTGATCGAAGCTCCTCGCTAGCAGACAACTGTAGGACAGTGGATAAAACCGCGTTTCAGTTGTACACACAGTTTGTCGACAGTTCACATATTTTAAGCATTATTCTTGTTTAACCAGATCTTTCCACACGCAGTTAGACCACTTCAAGATGTCGACTCCCGGTGCTAATCAAGAGTTACCAAGTTAGCTTAACTCGTTCTTGAAATTCAGGGCGTAATTTTTCATGAATCCAATAATTCCAATATGAAAAGAATTAAGCAATACTAAAAAAAACCGTTGTTTCCTTGAATTCTGTAGACAGTCGATAACACAGTCATTATATTCGACAATCAGGCACGTGTTCCTCCAGTACTGGCGTGCATAGACAGGTGTAGTGGGACATCCAATCAAAGAGTGAAATTGAAATTAAGTTTTTAGAGAGAGAGAGAGAGAGAGAGAGAGAGAGAGAGAGAGGGGGGGGGTCTACTCGACACACAAACTAGGTCATTTCGGGAATTATATGAAGAGTATCCAGGTTTTGGTACCAACGTATAATTCCGGGGTCAAACCCCAGATTTCCTATCTTTACTTTCTGTTTTGTTTTTTCTCCAAATAACACATATTAATAATAATAATAATAATAATAATAATAATCAATTTGTATAGCGCCGAGTGTTCCAGCTAATAAGCTGCTCCAAGGCGCTCTTTACAATTAAAATACATATAACTTAAAACAATAGTTTTAAAACATTAAAAAATTAAAATGTCAACATGTCCATTGTTTAAAAGCACACTTTAAAAGTTCAGTCCTTGAAAATTTGGTATCCTCAATGACACTTTATTTGATTTATTTTAAAATTGTTATATACTTGTAATTGTTGTGTCAATATGCCTTTAATTATAATCATTATGTTTCTTACTTTCGGCAATTTTCTATAATGTCTTCATCAATATAGAATTTTAACTAGTTTTTTATATTGTATTTGTCACAATCGATATTCCATTCCTTGCACATTATTAAAGGACAATATTGTCCTTTAAGTGCTCTAATGTTTGACTGAACTCTGTGTGTGTGTGTGTGGGGGGGGGAACTGTTCTTTTCCGACTGGGCTAATTAATGAAGACGGTCATACGCCATACAGTGTACTATGAATTCCACTTGCCAAGGGATTGTTTTATGTGTACGCTAATGTGTACGTACAGGACCCTTTGCCAGGCTTTCTGTCCTGTGCCACTGACCACTGAGAGTGATAGGGTGGGGGAATTGAGTTTAACGTCCACGTCATTTCGGAAATTTTGACTCGATGGAATCAGACTGAAATCAGCGTACTTACTTCTTCTATATACCAGTACCACTTCGACCGCTACTGTTACACCCTAGTAATCAATGCGGTACATTCAGCGCTTTGATACCCTAAACACACGCCACCTATACACTCACCCACCCACACACGCCACATCCACGATGCCGTCGCATTTTCTTTAAAATGGAGTCACAAATACGGCCGATGTAACTGAAACGGGATTTTATTATTGTATCCCAGCTTGAAGCTAACTGTTAATTCAACAAGCGTTAAAATTTCCACCTGAATCAAAAAGGTATTAGTCCTTTCAAGGTAGAATGCGACATACATAACATCATTTCTTTTAACATCTTTCAGATATTTATGTTTGGCGTTTTCTTAAAATATTTTAAAAGACCAACAGTCCCGGGGTTAAACATGCTTTCTAAAATATTCACTAAGGAGTGAATTGATAATCGCTTACCATCATAAGTTCGTTAAGTTCTAGAAATGGTTCCACTACTGATGTCTTACGTCTTACTCCAGCCACAGTAGTGGACCGTCCTAAGGGCTTTGCGCAAGTTTTGAAGTCATTTGACTACAAAAAAGTTGCTGGCCTTATATAACTCCCTTAATTTCAGATTACACTGACCCCAAAGTGTTCTGCACATAGCTTAGCATATAATAAACCAATCCCCTATTGAATAAAGGTGAAACCTTACCGCATAATTATATGATTTGATTTAACCCAACTGCAATGCGAAATTTTTGTTCAGTTAAAAATGGCCGCCATACCAGAATCACGTGATATTATATCACTCGAAAATTTAGAAAATTTAGATTAAGATTTATGTGTCCCACTCTTCACTATTTGTAACATAATCACTTATTTCCATGCAAACTATGATGATATGTGTTGAAAATTTTGCAACTGAACCTAATTTTA